TTGGTCCAGTCGTGGGCCTGAACTCTGGGCCTGGGCGCTGTCCCTCAGCTCTTCAGCTCAAGGCTAGTGCTCTACCACTTAAGCCACAGTGCCACTTCCGGCTTTTTTCTTTTTGCTTATGTGGTGCTGAGGAATTGAACTCAGGGCCTCAGGCATGCAAGACAAGCACTCTACCACTGAGCCACCTTCCCAGCCCCTGATTAAAACAACTCTTTATCTTTCCTTGTTGCTGTATTTGTGTATACGCATAATTCCTTAGGATAATTTTTTTTTCCGGTCCTGGAGCTTGAACTCAGGGCTTGGACATTTCCCTGAACTTCTTTTGCACAAGGCTAACACTCTACCACTTAAGCCATAGCACCACTTCCGGCTTTTTCTGTGAATGTCCTACTGAGGAATCAAACCAAGCACTGTACCACTAAGTCACATTCCTAGCTCCAGTTAGGTGTCTTTAAAATCTTTATCCTGGGTTGGAAATGCTGTTTAGTGGTAGATTGTTTGCCTAACATGCATGAAGCCCTGGGTTCGATTCCTCAGTGCCACATACACAGAAAAAGCTAGAAGTGGCGCTGTGGCTTAAGTTGTAGAGGGCTAGCCTTGAACAAAAAGAGGCTCAGAGACAGTGCCCAGGCCCTGAGTTCAAGCCTCAGGAGTTGCAGAGAGGGAGAGGGAGAGAGAGAGACAGGTGGAGAGAGAGAGGGGGAGAAGCGGGGGGGGGGGAAGAGGGAGAGGGAGAGGTGCAGGTTCAGGACCTGGGCACTGTTCCTGAGCTTTTTTTGCTCAAGGCTAGCACTCTATCACTTGAGAAAAAACTCTAGGCTTTTTCTGAGGGGAGGGATTAATTGGAGATGAGTCTCATGGACTTTCCCGGTAAGGCTTATTTTGAACTGCAAACCTCAGATCTCAGCTTCCTGAGTAGCTAGGATTACAGGCGTGAACCACTGGTGCCCAGCAATGTCTGAAGTTTCTAAATACATATTGCTAACTTGTCCTCCAAGAGACAGCAACAGCTTACATCTGCATTGGCAGAGCGCAGGAGAACGCCTTTCCCGTCCCATCCCAAGCCCTGGTATTGGTATTGAATATAGTCAATTTTTGAAAATGTAATTTGATAGATGACACATAGTTGTTTTGATTTTCATTTCTCTGATTTCAATTAAATTATGGTACTTCGATTACTTGGAAAGTGCTTGAATCTAAAGAGTGGGCGGAAGAGATACACATTCTGGATATGAATGGAAAAAATGTGTTCAAGTTAGCATTTATACTCATTAGAGAGAATGTGTTAGAGTATTTTAGACTTTACCAGAAACCACACAGACATCCAGATACAAAGAACAAAGAAAAGGTTTATTATTAGACTTTATTTATTAGACCTAAAGTCCTCTTCTCTGGAGGGGGGCGGTCGGTAATGGGGCTTGAACTCTGGGCCTGGGCGCTGTCCTTCAGCTCTTCAGCTCAAGGCTTACACTCTACCGCTAAGCCACATTGCCACTTCCAGTTCTCTGGTGGTTTATTGGAGATCAGAGTCTCACGGACTTTCCTGCCTGGGCTGGCTTGGAACTGTGATCCTCAGCTCTCAGCCTCCTTAGTAGCTAGGAGGACAGGTGTGAGCCACCAGCACCTGACCTGTTTATTTTTCTTTTTTAAGGAGTGAATAATTCATGAACAAATGGTTGCGAAACCACCAGGAAATACTACTTCCTACCCACTAGAATGGCCATAATACAAAAGACAGCTGGGAGCCAGGCATGGTGGAACACACCTGTAATTCCAGCATTGGGAGGCTGAGGCTGAAGGAACTTGAGAAGTTCAAGGCCAGTCTGAACTACATAGTGGGACCCTGTCTAGAATAATCAACAACAAACCACTGTTACTGCTACAACAGAAAACAGTAACAAATGCTGATGAGGAGCAGAGACATTGAAATCACTGATCCCTATTCTCAGTGGTGTTAAAAGTACTGCTTTTTAAAAAATAGTCTGGCATTTGCTCAAATATGTCAAATGATCTAGAAATTCATGTCTTAGATATATAACCAAGAGAAATGAAAACTCCCACAAAACTTATATCATGCTGGGTACTGGTGGCTCATGCCTGTAATCCTAGCTATTCAGGAGGCTGAGATCTGAGGATCAGAGTTCAAAGCTAGCCCAGGTAGGAAAGTCTATGAAACTCTTATCTCCAATATATTACTCAGAAAAAGCTGGAAGTGGTGCTCTGGCTCAAGTGGTAGAATGCTAGCCTAGAGCACAAAGAGGCTCAGGGACAGAGCCTAGACTCTGAGTTCAAGCTATAGGGCTGGCAACAAAACAAAACAAAAACAAAAACAACATTCATAGCAGCACAACTCATAATTGCCAAAAAATGGAAACAATCTCAAAATTAACCAGCTGATGAGCAGATGGATAAAATACAGAATATTTATACCATAGCACCAGGACAGGAATCGAGGTGATCTGACTCCAGAATCACAAGTCCAACTCTATGAAAGCTCATGGTTTTGTCTACTTAAAAAAAATGCTGTACAGGGGCTGGGAAGGTGGCTCAGTGGTAGAGCGCTTGCCTTGCATGCTCGAGGCCCTGGGTTCGATTCCTCAGCACCACATAAGCAAAAAGAAAAAAGCCGGAAGTGGTGCTGTGGCTCAAGTGGTAGAGCACTAGCCTTGAGCTGAAGAGCTTAGGGACAGTGCTCAAGCCCAGAGTTCAGGCCCCATGACCGGACCCCCCAAAAAAAAAACAAAAAAAATGCTGTACAGAGGGGTTACATTTACATGAGTAAGGCAATGAGTACCTTCCTTCCTTCCTTTCTTTTTTCTTTCTTTCTTGGTCATAGGGCCTGAACTCTGGGCCTGGGTGCTGTCCCTCAGCCCTTCAGCTCAAGGCTAGCGTTCTACCGCTTGAGTCATAGCACCATTTCCTGCTTTTTCTGCTTATGTGGTGCTGAGGAATCGAACCCAGGGCCTCATGCATGCAAGGCAAGCACTCTACCACTAAGCCACCTTCCAAGCCCCTGAGTACATTTCTTATCTAGCACTGTTACCCCCTCCTTTGTCTTTCTCAAACATAGTGTCTTGGGCTGGGAAGGTGGCTCAGTGGTAGAGCGCTTGCTTTGCATGCCAGAGGCCCTGGGTTCGATTCCTCAGCACCACATAAGCAAAAAAAAGAAAAAAGCCGGAAGTGGCACTGTGGTTCAAGTGGTAGAGCGCTAGCCTTGAGCTGAAGAGCTGAGGGACAGCACCCAGGCCCAGAGTTCAGGCCCCACGACCGGACCCAAAAAACAAAAACAAAAACAAAAAAACATAGTGTCTTGTGAGTCTCATTGTTGCAATGGGTCATCCTGTGCCCTTGTTTTAGCATTTTGTTATTCCACTTCCCCTCCCCAAATTAGATAAATGTATATATAAGATGCAGAGTACCAAATCAAATACAGTGAGAACAAGGGATATACATAGGGGGAAGAACATACAAAAGAAACAAAAAAATTATGTGGTACATTAAAAACAACAACAACAACAAAGAAAGACCTCTTGTGTCCATATCTTGGGGTTCATTTCACTTAGCACCATCTTGTATGGTTATATGTAGGTAGCTTTTGAGCTTTTCTGCTCATCTGATAAGATTATCCTAGACATATAATAATTATTGCAAATAAGAGAAACCATGGGACCTAAATTTCTTTGGGTCTGGCTTACTTCACTTAATAGGATTTTTTCCAAGTCTTTCCATTTCCTAACAAATGGGGTGGTGTCATTCTTTCTGATGGAGACATAGAGTGTAAACTTGTTCAACCACTCTGGGAAGCAGTATGGAAGTTACTCAGGAGACTACACCCAGCGATCCTACTTCTTGGCATTTACCCAAATGATCACAAATAAGGCCATACTAAAGCTACCAGCACAACTATGTTTATCGCGGCATTATTCACCATAGCTAAGATATGGAACCAACCCAGATGCCCTTCAGTAGCTGAATGGATCAAGAAAATGTGATGTATACTTTTTGTTGTTGGTGGTGGTGGTCATGGGGCTTGAACTCTGGACCTAGGCACTGTCCCTGAGCTATTCAGCTCAATGCTAGCACTCTACCGGTTGAGCCACAGTGCCACTCCCAGTTTTCCAAGTGGTTTATTGGAGATAAGAATCTCAGGGACTTTCTTGCCTGGGCTGGCTTTGAACCATGATCCTCAGATCTCAGCCTCCTGAGTAGCTAGGATTACAGGTGTGAGTCACTGGCACCAGGTTTGGCTACTTTTTCTTTTTCTTTTGGTGCTGGTAGTAATGCTTGAACTTAAGGTTTTGTACATTTACTTCGCTATTTCACTCAAATCTAGCTCTCTACTGCTTGATCCACAGTTCCATTTCTGGCTATTTTTGCTGGTTAAGTGGACATAAGAGGCTCTGCTTGGGCTGGCTTCCAACCATAATCCTTAGATCTCAGCCTCCTAAGTAGCTAGGACTATAAGTATGAGCCACTGGCACCTGGCTACTTTTTGTGTGTGTATGTATGTGTGGTACTAAGGTTTGAACTCAGGGCCTTGTACTTGCAAGGCAGAGTATTTTAACACTCTCGCCTTCTTGCCTTTTTAAAATCTAGATTCTGCATATAAGAAGATGTAATTTTTTTCTTGAATGTATATGTATATTCAAGTTTCATTAACTTTTAAAAATCCAGCTGCTAAGCCTGGTGCCAGTGGCTCACATTTGTAATTCTAACTACTCAGGAGGCTGAGATCTGGGGATTGGGGTTCAAAGCCAGGCTTGGCAGGAAAGTCCATAAGACCTTTATCTCTATTTAATCACAGAAAACATGGGGAATGGAGATGTGGTTCAAGTGGTAAAGTGCTAGCCTTAGCACAAAAGCTCAGGGACAGCACCCAGAGTTCAAGCCCCAGGACTGGCAAAAAAATCCAGCTGCTAGACACCCCAAATTTCACATCAGAGAAGCCTACCTCATCAGTTGGGAATCACCACTCCTGGAAACCCCTTCATGCAGAAATTCACTTGGAGTGAGGACTGATAGTGCTCTAAACCCCAAGAGTTAATGTCAGAATTCTCTCATTTGAAACAAGAAGTTACGTAACAAGTAAGTTCCTGGTGTTTTGTAGAAGTCAGAGGAAAGAGTACGCAAGAATCTCATTCACAGGGGAAGGGCAGAGAGATTTCCCCATCCCTGAGTGTAACTTGGCTCACTGTAGTCTGTGTACCAGTGGGAGTCTCTGGCTTTGCATCTCCAGGAGGGTGCGCATAGACTGCCACTGCTGACCCTTTAGCCCAGCACCAACCTCACCCAGAATGCTGGTGACTGAGACCAGTGTGCTAGAAGTCTGCTAGGACTCAAGGTACAAGAACGCTTGACCCCTGCTGCATGCTTTATCCCAACAGCCTTTATCCCCAGCCTCTCTCCTTCTCCTTCACCGTCTCTCCTCTCCCTTCCTCTTTCCCTGCTTTCCTCTCCCCCGTAAAATACATATTGAAAGTTCACATCGCAACATTTCAGTTTAAGCTGAATCAACTGCAAGGTTGGGGGAAAAAAAGAGTGAATTTCAAGGTGTTTTATCTTCAAGTCTCCCTTGCTCATTATTTCTGCTGATGCTCATCTTTCCTTTGGAAACTGGTAGTATGTGAGTCTGAGCACTTTTTTGGTTGGATTTGGGCAGTATGTAGCCAGAGTTGGTCTTGAACTCACAACCCTCTTGCCTCATTCTCCTGAGTGTTGGGATTATAAGCATCCATCACTAGTCCAGGCTTCTAACCACTCTTGTTATATTTTAGAAAAAGAAAGTTCTGTTCAATGTTTCCCTGTTCGTCTATTTATTCTTTTGTGCCAGCATTAGAACTTGAATTCAGGGCCTCAAATTCTCACTTGTCCTTTTTGCTCATGGCTTATAATCTACTAACATTAGCCATGCCCCAGCCTGGCATTTTGCAGGTTAAAAAGTCTTACATACTTTTGCTTTGAGCCTCAGTCCTCCAGATCTCAGTTGGCAGAGTAGCTGAGATTATAAGCATTACAACCCGCTGGCAGTTTCCCCTTTTTGCATACTCTCTTCTCACCAAACAGGAACACTGAGCCTTGGTGAAACAGGAAACAGAGAAAATGAAATGTTGTTTTAAAATGATTTTTACCATACCAAGAAGAGAGCAACTATATTGATCAGCCAGGTACTGTGGGGACAGGATTGGGGTTTAAGTTTTAAAGCCAAATATTCAGTTTGGGTTTCTGCACATTTGAAGCAGGCCTGGGAGCTACTCTTGTTGAGAACTGTGGTTTCTTGCAGCTGCCCGGATTTCCCTGCAGGGGAAAGTTTAGGCACAGTTATCTGGTCTATTGGGCTTTTACCAGGTTCCTCTGAATCGATATCTAAAGGGACATGGCATCATTCAGGGGTCCATTTGTTTAATACGAGACAAAGTGAGGGAAAAGACTTTGTAAACAGTTTTGGTCAGAAAGGAAAACTACTCTTGTGCTAAGACTACTCAGAACCACAGATCGGAGCAGAAAACAAGTAAGTGAATTGCTTGATTTATCCAGTCTTCTGAGTAACTGATGAGAAACCTGATATTTGGAGAGAAAAAGGAAAGGAAGGGATTGTTTACAGGACATCTATTTTGTGACAGGGTCTCTCTGCCCATGATCTCAGTGGATCTTATTACCCTGGTTTAGAGGTGGAAAATATGGTAGGAAGAAGTTCAATAACTTGCCTTGGGTTAGGCAGCTAATTAGTTACAAACTTGGATAAAACTCATTTCTGGTTTGATCCCAGTAGTTCAGCACACTTCTAGAATGCTAATTCTATTAGCTGCTAGGGTCTGAGTGGTTTAAATATCAAAACGTACTTTCTCAGAGTGTTTGGGGCTGGAAATCTAAGACCAAGGAGTCAGTTTCCGCCGAGGCCTCTGTTCTTGGCTTCCAGATGGATGCCTCCAGCTTGTGTCCTCAAGAAGCCTTTTTCTCTGAGCATCCCTGAGATCTCAGTGTGTGCATCCTAATTTCCTCTTTCTAGGACAGCAGTTGGATTGGATTAGCCAACAGCCTCACGTGAACTTAATTAACTCCTCCCAGGCCCATATGCTAATATGGTCACATTCTGAAATACTGGGATTTAAATCTTTTTTTTTTTTGGTGGGGGTGCCTCTTCTAGGACTTGAACTCAAGGCCACGGTTCTGTCCCTAAGGTTTTTGCTCAAGGCTAGTACTCTGTCACTTGAGTCACAGCTCTACTTCCAGCTTTTTGGTGGTTAATTGGAGATAAGGATATCACAGAACTTTTCTGCCCAGGTTATGAACTGTCAATCCTCAGATCTTGGCCTCCTGAGTAGCTAGGATTACAGGCATAAGATGCCTGGCTTGGGATTTAAATCTTTAATGTGTGTATTTAGGGGGGGGGGAATACAGTTCAGTTCCAATGCTAATATTAATCAGTGAAATGTGAGATTGCTGGAGTCCCAAGTAGATGTAAGAACCTTCTAGTCTAGAGCCTTTTTAGTAGGAAAAAAGATAACACTGAATATCTCTGTCCCAGAAACTTTCATGTTTAATTTTTCCAACAGTCCTAGGAGTCGTTAACATGCATGTCAGTATTTCAGTAAAGAAATCAAAACCTGAAAGGGTCAAGTAACAAGTCTAAGAGTACTCATCGAATAACACATCTAAAGATTCAAATTCAAGCCTGCCATGTTAATGCTGAAATGTATTTCCATTTCCATGTGCTTGCCTCTCTGCTCTTGATTATATCCTTTCCCTCATTCCCCTGTAAGGTGTGGAAATTAATCCACAGACATGAGGTCTGAGTCCTGAAGAAGTTTAGTTTATGAAGCAATCCTGTAAATACTTCTAAGAAATACCTATACCTGGGCTGGGAAGGTGGCTCAGTGGTAGAGCGCTTGCATTGCATGCATGAGGCCCTGGGTTCGTTTCCTTAGCACTACATAAGCAAAAAGAAAAAAGCTGGAAGTGGTGGTGTGGCTCAAGTGGTATAGCGCTAGCCTTGAGCTGAAGAGCTGAGGGTCAGCGCCCAAGTCCAGAGTTCAGGCCCCACGACTGGACCCCCCCCCAAAAAAAAACTAAACTAAAATACCTATGCTTAGAATTAGTTCCTAAACATTATTTCTCAAGGTACCATGATAAGAAATGGCCTTTTTTTTTTCTTCCTTCAGTGCTGGGTTTAGCAGCCAGGACTTTGCCCACTCTAGGCAAGCACTCTACCACTGAGCTACACCCTTGGCCCAGAAAAGGACTCCATCTACACCGTTTGTGGACTTTGTTCACTGCATGGATTGCTGGGAAGGAGAAGAGAAGGGATGGAAGCTGGTGGGAAGGAGAGAAAAGGAAAGGGGAGGGGAGGGGAGGAAATGAAAGAAGAGGGGAAGGGAGAGGTGGACTTTGTGGTTCAAAGGTTGGAGACAACCGTGTTCTTTAGATCAGCATAATTCAGGTCATGTGGGCTTCAGTCTACAACTAATTTATTCTCAAGAACAATTAATAATTAGTTAACTGGCTCCCTGTGCTTGCACACGCTTTCTCTCTGTGGTAGAATATTCCCAGAATCCAAACTGAATATGAACCATTAACGTCTTCAAAATCAGCTGAGATTCTTTCTTAATGACTCGGGGAGTAATTTTTTTTGAATGGTTATTTTAGCAGACAGTGAGTGAAGAACAAACTGTAGAACTATTTGATTTTGTTTATGTTTGAAAAGAGGGAACTTACGGCTTCTTCCACTACCTTCTTCCTCTTCCTTTCTGTTCTCACTTGAAGTTTGACCCAGTCAATTGGAAATCCTCCCAGATCCTCCCCTTTTGAGGGGTAGAATAGCAAAAGAGGGAGGAATTTATTACCTAGCAGTAGCCATTTACTGAGTCCTTTCTTTGTGCCTCATATTACCCTTTGATCCAAAACTCGGATTGCCAGTGGAAGAGCCTGGAATTTGAACCCAGTGCTGGCACTAAAATAGACCTTTTCTCAGGCTCCAGTACTGCTCCAAGGCCTTGTTTTCAGACTTTCTCCCAAGGCTTCTTCTCTAATCACCTGTCTCTGCCTATAAACGCCATTTCCCCTTTACTTCTTGTGAGCTTTGGTTTTGTTCGAGTGCAATCCAAAAGTCAATTCTTCTAGGTAAACATCAGCTTGAGGGGCTTCCTTAGAAACTACCCTTCAAACTTTATTGATCTTGATAATAAAATATAATAATAACAACAACAATGCATTTCAGCAGAGGACTGGTGGCTCATGCTCATAATCCTAGCTACTTGGGAGGCTAATATCTGAGTTCAAGTTTAACACACCAACATACAAAGAAGAAAAATACATTTTACATTACTACCCAGTGCCAGGATACACACACAACTGAAATGAAATTTTCATGGAAAAACACAGTGCTTCTGCCAGTTTTATTTCTATTCTCTCTCTCTTTTTTTTTTCCTGGTCCTGGGGCTTGAACTCAGGCTGGGTGCTATCTCTGAGCTCCTTTTGCTCAAGGCTAGCACTCTACCACTTCAGCCACAGTGCCACTTCCAGCTTTTCTGTGATTAACTGGAGATAAGAGTCTCTTATCCTGCCTGGGCTGGCTTTGAACCACCATCTTCAGATTTCAGCCTCCTAAGTAGCTGGGATTATAGGCATGAGCCACTGGTATCCAGCTAATGTTTTTGTTTTTGATTTTTGTTTTTGATTTTGTGCTGGTCTTGGGGCTTGAATTTGGGGCCTGGGCACTGTCCCTGAGCTTTTTTGCTTTACTTTTTTTTTTTTTTTTTTGCTACCACTTGAGGCCCAACTCCATTTCTGATGGTTAAATGGAGGTAAGAGTCTCACAGACTGGCTTCAAACTTTTTCAGCCTCCTGAGTAGCTAGGATAACAAGCCTGAGCTATCAGTACCTCACTGTATTACATGTTTTTAATATGCAAATTGTGTGACCCAAGAGTGGAGCACACCCAAGAGGACTTTGCTTATTTCTTTTGACAAGTGTTCCTGCCTCTCTCCACTCTGAAGGCCCCTGGCTCCTCACACCAGGTCCCTGGGCCCAGCACCGTTATAGCTAATATTAAATATACTTGGCATATTTAACAAATGAACCAATCATTGTGAACACTCTCCCTCCTTTATACAACTATTCCCAGTATCAGTTATATAGTGATATTAATGATAAGAATGGCCAGAATGAAACTAAGAGTGAAAAATTACTAAACAACAGTTCTTTCCTTCCCCTTCCCCACAGCCCCTGGCAACTCCCATACTACTTTATGCGTCTATTTATGTGACTACCTAGATAGCCTAGGTAAGTAGAAGCATATGTTGCTGATTTTTAGTTTATTTAGTTTATAACTTGCTAGGCCAGAGTCACATTTACATTCCAGAAGTCAAAAAAGTATCTTTTAAAAATAGAAACTAAAAAGCTAGCCAGGTGAGGGTGGCTCATGCCTATAATCCTAGCTACTCAGGAGGCTGAGATCTGAGGATCACGGTTCAAAGCCAGCCCAGGCACGAAAGTCTGTGAGACTCTTATTTCCAATTAACCTCCAGGAAACTGGAAGTGGCGCTGTGGCTCAAGTGGTAGAGTAGAGTGCTCACCTTGAGCCAAATAGCTCAGGCCCAGAGTTCAAGCCCCATGACTGAGGTTCCTCCCCCCCTCCCCCCCCCACCCCAGCCTCGCTGCATGAGCCCCCCCTCCCCTGCCAAAACAACAACAACAAAAACCAAACAGGTGGAAATGGATGAGGGCCAGTGGCTCATGCCTATGATCCTAGCTACTCAAGAGGCTGAGATTTGGGAGGGGGGTGGCTGGGAAGGGATGTGAAGGGTAAACCAAAGGAGGAGGCTGCAATGCTTGGTAAGAAATGTACGCATTATCCTGCCCATGTAATTGTAACCCCTCTGTACAGTATCTTCACAAATAAAATAAAATATAAAAAAAAAGGAGGCTGAGATTGAAGATTGCAGTTTGAAGGCAGCCCTAGTAGGAAAGTCTGTAAAACTCTTATCTTCAATTAAGCACCAAAAAGCTGAAAGTGGAGGTGAGGCTCAACTGGTAGGGCACTAGTCTTGAGAACATAAGCTCAGGGAGAGTGCCCCGACCCTGAGCTCAAGCCTCAGGAATGACGCAGAAAAAATAAAAACAAGTAGAAATAGAAACTAATAAGCTTGTTTTAAAATTTATCTGGAAATACAAACAATTTTGAAAAAAAAAAACAAAATTGGAGGACTTATAGGACCTGATTTCCAGATAAATTTATCAAGCAACCTCAATTTTTTTGGGGGGGTCTGGTCGTGGGGCCTGAACTCTGGGCCTGGGCGCTGTCCCTCAGCTCTTCAGCTCAAGGCTAGCGCTCTACCACTTGAGCCACAGCACCACTTCCGGCTTTTTATTTTTGCTTATGCGGTGCTGGGGAATCGAACCCAGGGCCTCAGGCATGCAAGGCAAGCGCTCTACCACTGAGCCACCTTCCCAGCCCCAACCTCAATTTTTTTTTAATCTCACACCATAAATTTTTCTCAAAATATGAATCAATACCACAATGAAAAAGCTAAAATTATAAAGTATCACATACATATACATGTGTCTCAAACTCATCCCTTTATTACTCTTGTTACCCCACTCCCCTTCTTAAAATGATTTCATCTGGCTCAATTGTTCTATTTTTTTACATGCAAACAACCTCATAGACCTTATTCATTCTCATTTACCCTCTTCCTTAGCTCTTCCTGCTCCCGCCTGTAACACTCCCTACCACAAATCCTGTTTTATTTCCTGTCATTCTTTTTTTTTTTTTTTAGTATGTGTTAATTGAAAGCACAGATCTTCAATGAGTTTCACAAATGCTTAAGCTTCAAAATCCTCTCACATGCTGTCTGCCTGTGATAATTCCAATCCAGATTGCTTTTTTCTGGGCTACCTGAAGAAACACCCTCCCCCCAGCCCACCACACGAACCTAGCAGTATTCTATCTGACACTTACTTGTACCATCTTTCAGTGTTTAATTCTCAGTTACTCTCTTAGCTCTGACCAGTATCAATAGGAAGGAACTTTGCAAAGCTCTCCTTCAGCACAGTCTAGAGCTCCAGGACAGGAGTCATAACACCTAAGCTCTCTTTAGGTTTTGACTGCAAATATCCAGTGGCTTCAAATAGATTTTTGCCATCATTTTCTCATATATGTACATACATATAGAATACACCGGATTCTTTTTGTGTTGTTCATTTTATAGAATGAAGAGTAGCATGGCAGAAAGAAAAGGGCATACAAGGACTGTCTTTCACACATCCTTTGGAAATAGTATCTTCTACTGAGATGCAGAAAGTGGCAACATTTTATTCAGAACAAGTAAGTATATCACAAGTAACATCCACTTGATTATCTAATAGGATACCAAATGTTGATGATACTGAATGGAAAATCAATTCATGTCTTCCTCTGATTAGTTATCTGTGGACATTTCCGTGAATAGTTTTCTATTGTTTTGGGGATTCATTTACAAATATGTCAGCCTGTAGGAAAAAGTAGACCACAGAGAGGGTAGGACTTACACAGAGTGACCAGATGCATGTTTTAAACTGTTGGTTTGGAGCGAGGTGCTGGTGTCTCATGCCTGTAATCCTACCTACTCAGGAGGATGAGAGCTGAGGATCACAGTTCAAAGCCAGCTCAGGCAGGAAAGTCTGTGAGACTCTTATCTCCAATTAATCACTTGAGCCACTGTGGCTCAAGTGGTAGAGTGCTCGCCTTGAGCTGAAGAGCTGAGGGATAGCACCTAGAGTTCAAGCCCCATGACTGACAAAAATAGAATAAAAAAATAAATATATTGTTGGTTAGGGTTAGGAATGTGGCTTAATGGTAGACTGCTTGCTTAGCATGCATGAAGCCCTGGGTTCAACTCCTCAATACCACATAAACAGAAAAGGCCAGAGTGGTGTTGTAGTAACAAGTGGTAGAGTGCTAGCCTTGAGCAAAAAAAAAAAAACAAAAAAACAAAACTCAGGGACAGTGCCCAGATCCTGAGTTCAAGGCCCAGGACTGGCAAGAAAAAGTAAGATAAAATAAACTGTTGGTTCCATGAAATTGACCATTAGGCCATCTTCTTCCACCTGGGCATCAGATAACTATGCCAATCCAGATCTTTGTGAATAAGTGATTTTGGTATGAGTGGCGCCCACAGTTACCTCTACACATTTGATGATAGGTAGAGACCTGAGCTAGCCAATATAGTAGGTAGTCACTGGCTGCCTGTGTCTATTTACTGTGAGTGACAATATAAAATTTAATGTGAACTTCAGTTGTTTAGTCACTTGAGCTACATTTCAAATGCTCAATAGCCACATACGAGCTTGTAGCTAGCATATTGGCTAGTCCAAATATAGAAAATGGTGATTGTTTCAAAACCCCTCTACTCTTCAGGGCTGGTTTACACAGAGATGTTCTCATAAGAATGTATTATGATTGAATGAATCAGAAATATTGCTCTCATCTATTTGGTTAAAGAAGAGGGTGATATCCCCATTCATGGAGATTTACCATGGTTAAGAAGGATATCTTAGGGCTGGGAAGGTGGCTCAGTGGTAAAGTACTTGCATTGCATGCATGAGGCCCTGAGTTCGATTCCTCAGCACCACATAAGCAAAAAGAAAAAAGCCGGAAGTGGCACTCTGGCTCAAGTGGTAGAGCACACTAGCCTTGAGCTGAAGAGCTGAGGGACAGCGCCCAGGCCCAGAGTTCAGGCCCCACGACCGGACACCCCCTCCCCACAAAAAAAGAAGGCTATCTTTCAGATATATAATATAGTTAGTAATATTTTATATCTATAATATTTTATACCTGTAATACTTGATTAGTAATAACTATGTCTTGCAATTAAATAATTTCTAGCATGAAGATACATTATGATCAGTACTAAGAATCTGTTATATAGAGAAGGCTTTTTGTATATGTGGGTATGATACTAGGTTTGAACTCATGTCCTCCTGCTTACTGTGCAGGCACTGTACTCTGAGCCACACTTGTAATCCTAGAGTAGATATAGTTATGTAGTTTGCTTTTAAACTGATATATATATATATATATATATATATATATATAATTGATATCATGAGTGTTTCAAATGGGTCTTCCTTTTACAGTGAAGCCATGTCCACAGTGAGGCTAGTCTTGTGGAGGTACATAATTCTCGAGGCCTTGCTAGAATCACATCTTTCAATGCAAAATAAAGATCATGACTAGACTGACCTAGAGCCTATCTGTAGAAGGGGGATGTGGAAGCCAAGACTACATCTAAGATCTCAGAAGGAGAATACAGAACTCTCTTATGGGACAGGTACCTAGGAATGGGCAACAACTCAGCTTAGGGTAATAGCAGCGAGTTGCCATGGTGGGGAGTAGAGTGGCATGTGGGCTTGGGGTGCCTGATGCTGCATTTCTAACCCCAGAGGTCTTGGGAGCCTTTGGGAGAAGGATCTTCACTCTCCAGTAAGTCAAAAAAGGTTTGAAAGCCAGGAACGACCTACTATAGGAAGCAAAATCACACAGCCTGCCTGATGGTGAAAAACCAGGGAGACGTGTCATCGAATGACAAGTGGGCAGAGCAGTTCAGCGTGTGGGTACACTTTCACCTGCCCTTTTCCCCCTTTGGTGCTGGCATGGGAGCTTAAATTCAGGACCTCTGGTTCTTACTTGGCTTTTTTTGTTCCAAGATGGCACTCTGCCATTTGAGGCTTTTTGCTGAGTAACTGGAGATGAGTCCCAAGGACTTTTCTGTCCAGGCTGGTATCAAACCTTGATTTTCCAATCTCAGCCTTCTAAGTTGTTAGCATTATAAGCATGAGCCACCAGCACCTGCTTGATCATCATTTTTGAATTAGATCTTGCAGGCCAGACACAAAACCTACCCAGTTTCCACAGAGACTGGGAGAAGGGATGAGAGATACTTGACTGGAGATAGTTTAATATTTTACAAATATACTTTTTAGAACAGGCCAACATTTGTGAGAGATAGAACATGCTTTTTGGATAATGACAAAGCTACTACTTTTTGTGAGATACCACACATGAATTCTTATAATTCATAAATTACATACCATTCTCACACATCTTCTAGACACACAAAGATGAGAAATCACATGATATGATAGAGCTGATTTTTACTTATTAGGACACTGGATTACAGAATGTTCTGATTGCTGTTAGCCAGTTGACATATGTTGTCAGCTTGAAATTGGTCATGGTAGAAATACTGAATCAGTTATAGGAATGAGTAAGTGCTACGAATTAGACCCTCTCTCTCCAGAGAGCCAGCTTATTACACATTTAGAAACATTTCACTCAAACAGGTTCAAGGGCCAGGGGTGTGATTCAAGTGGTAGAGCTCCTGCTTAGCAAGCATGAAGCCCTAAGCTCAAATCCCAGTACTACTACCATTGGGGAAAAAAAGCCAGGCACTCAGGGCTGAGGCCTGTAATCCTAGCTACTTAGCTACTCAGGGGGCTGAGATCTGAGGATCACTGCTGAAATTGAAAGTCAGCTAGGGCACAAAAAGTCCATGAGATTCTATTGCCAATTAAACACTAAAGAGCAGGAAGTGGACCTATGGCTCTAGTAATAGAGTGCTAGCCTTGAGCAAAAGGATCCCAGGAACAGTGCCCAGGCCCCAAATTCAAGTCCCAGTACCAGTGTACAAACACACACACACACACACACACACACACACACACACACACACACGTTCAAAGAAGTTTAGTAACTTGCTAGGGTTACCCGATATTAGGCCATTGTCATTATTCTTTTTTCTTTTTGTTTTTTGGTCAGTTGTGGGGCTTGAGTTCAGGGCCTGGGTGCTCTCCCTAGGCTTCTTCACTCAAGGTTAGCACTCTACCACTTGGAGCTACAACACCACTTCTGATTTTTCTGGTGGTTAATTGGAGGTAAGAGTATCAGGACTTTTCTGCCTGGGCTGGCCTTGAACCGTGATTCTCAGAGCTCAACCTCCTGAGTAGCTAGGATTACAGGCGTGAGTCACCAGTGCCCAGCCCCTTGTCATTATTCTAACGTCCATAGTTTCACTATTGTGGCCTCTCTGAAGATTCCTTTATATCAGAGGACCAGATTACTTACCTTTCTTCATCACCAAGACAAAACCATTTTCCTGGTTCAAACTCAGGTTAGAGTTTTGCAGAGTATTTCCTGAGAGCCTGAAATTCAAGCATTTGGCATCTCCATAACTCAAGATGGGCCCAGTAGGAAAAAGCACATAGCCCTCATGCTATGAAACAGAGGCTGACCTGCATGTTTTATGCAAATTCCCACATATATGTGTATATTCATATGTGTATATTCATACATATATATATACACATATATATGTATATATTTCTTTCATCTCCTCAGTGAATTTCATAAAGGACAACAGTCAAGTCCTTATTCAGAGGATGGGCATGACTGTCATAAAGCAAATTGTGGATGATCTGTTCGTTTGGAACGTGCTGAATGGTGAAGAAGTGAAGGTTATCTGCTGTGAGAAGGTGGAACAGGATGCTGCTAGAGAAATCATTCACATGATTTTGAAGAAGGGCTCAGAGGCCTGTAACCTCTTCCTTAAATCCCTGGAGAAATGGAACTACCCAGTGTATCAGGACTTAAATGGACAAAGTAAGTTATCACTTTGCTTGTATCTGTTTCTCCAAAGAGAATAAACCAAGAGAGAACAGGACCCCCCCACCTCATTACAGAGCCTTTTTCCCTTTATCTTTCTATCACCTGAAAATAGGCTTTGATTCATGCTAAGGATAAGCTCTCATGAGATCACTTGGTGGTAAAGCCAAATATGTAATAAGACTCAGAGCCAGAGAATAAATGATTTAGTATAGCCTCACTTCAAAGTATGAGCGGAATACCAGGTATGGTGGCATAAGCCTGTAACCCTATCACTCAGGATGCTGAGGTAGGTGGATTGTAAGACTGAATCAGTCTTGCCCACAGAGTGAGACCCTCTCTCAAAAATAAACCAACCAACAAACAAATGAAAAGAAAAAGAAAAGCATAACAGGACCATAAATATATTTGAGTGAACATTGCTTAAACTGACTATGGGTAAATGGCCCAACTGACTACCTACTCTATGGTTCTAGCACTGGAGTAAAGAGCCTGATGGACTCAAGGAAACTAATTTTTCATGAAGCAAGACTTCAGTTTTATTGATTTTATTTTATTGATTTTTGTGGCTTGAACTCAAGGCCTGGGCACTGTCCCATAACTTTTCCTTCAAGGCTAGCGCTCCACCACTTGAGTCACAGCCCCACTTTCAGCATTTTGGGGGTTAATTGGAAATATAAGAGTCTAGTGGACTTTCCTGCCCAAGCTGGCTTAAAACCTCTATCCTTAGATCTCAGCTTCCTGAGTAGCTAGGATTACAGGTGTGACCCAACTTAGTTGTAATGATTTTAAATGAATAAATTATATTCTGACAAATGTTGCCCAAGATTAAGGCCTAATTGGTTGAAAATCACCTGTAACCACCATTTCTCAGCCAAATCTTCACTTCCTTCACCCAAATACAGATCCCGCCCCTCTCCAGCAAGCTGCTGTAGGATTTGTTTGTGGAAAATGGCAGGCAAAAGTGGGTGAAAGTGAGAGGGCACTGGGGGAGAAAGCAGAAGTAGATACTTGGAGCTCTTTGTGGTAGCTCAGAACTGAAGAAAGAAAGTCAAGGGCCCGAGACCTGGGAATGTGGCTTAGCGCTTGCCTCGCATGCATGAAGCCCTGGGTTCCATTCCTCAGTATCACATAAACAGAAATAGCCAGAAGTGGTGCTGTGGCTTAAGTGGTAGAGTGCTAGCCTTGAGCAAAAGAAGCTCAAGGACAGTGCCCAGGTCCTGAGTTCAAGCCCAGGACTGGTGAGAGAAAGAGAGAGAGAGAGAGAGAGAGAGAGAGAGAGAGAGAGAGAGAGGGAGAGAGGGAAAGAGGGAGAGAGGGAGAGAAGGAGAAAGAGAGAGAAAAGGAAGGAAGGAAGGAAGGAAGGAAGGAAGGAAGTGAAGGGGAATTCAAGGGTCCAGAAGGAGGCTCTCAGCCTCGCCACCTGCCTGGTTCTGAACTCTTGAGCAGACACTGAATCCCCCTGAACATCCACTCTGATGTCCCCCTCTTCTCCAACAGGCCTTTTTCATCAGCCATCAGAAGGAGAGCTGGAGGCTCTGGCTCAGGATTTAAAGGAATTATACCACAGCCCCTCTTTCCTGAACTTCTATCCTCTAGGAGAAGATATTGACATTATTTTTAATTTGAAGAGCACCTTCACAGAACCTGTCCTGTGGAGGAAAGACCAGCACCACCACCGCGTGGAACAGCTGACCCTCAACAGCCTGCTGGAGCAGCTACAGAGCCCCTGCCTCATCGAAGGGGAGTCAGGCAAGGGCAAGTCCACCCTGCTACAGAGAATCGCCATGCTCTGGGCCTCCAGGGAGTGCAAGGCCCTGGCCAAGTTCAAATTCGTCTTCTTTGTACGGCTGCGCAGGGCCCAGGGTGGCCTCTTCGAAACCCTGTGTGATCAGCTGCTGGAAATACCTGACACGATCGGGAAGCAAACCTTCATGGCCCTGCTGCAGAAGCTACGGCAGGACGTTCTTTTTCTCCTCGATGGCTACAATGAATTCCAGCCCCAGAACTGCCCAGAGATCGAAGCCCTGATCAAGGCCAACCACCGATTCCGTAACATGGTCATGGTCACCACCACCACCGAGTGTCTGAGACACATCAGGCAGTTTGGGGCCCTCACTGTGGAAGTGGGGGACATGCCGGAGAACAGTGCCAGGACTCTCATCCAGGAGGTGCTGATCAAGGAGCTTGCTGAAGGCTTGTTGCTCCAAATGCAGAACTCCAGGTGCTTGCAGAACCTAATGAAGACCCCTCTCTTCGTGGTCATCACCTGTGCCATCCAAATGGGGAAAACCAAGTTCTACTCTCACACCCAAACCACCCTGTTCCGGACCTTCTATGATCTGCTGATCCAGAAAAACAAGCACAGACACACAGGCGTGACTGCCAGCGACTTCACGCGGAGCCTGGAGCACTGTGGAGACCTGGCTCTCGAAGGCGTGTTCTCCCATCGCTTTGATTTCGAGCCGGAGGACATCTCCAGCGTGAACGAGGACGTCCTGCTCACCACTGGCCTCCTCTGCAAATACACGGCCCAGAGGTTCAAGCCCAAGTATAAATTCTTTCACCAGTCCTTCCAGGAGTACACTGCAGGACGAAGACTCAGCAGCTTGTTGGGGTCTCCCGTGCCAGAGGAGGTGAGCAAGGGAGATGGTTACTTGCAGAAAATGGTTTCCATTTCAGACATTACCTCTCTGTACAGCAACCTGCTCTTGTACACGTGCGGGTCATCTGCAGAAGCCACCAGGGCTGTCATGAGGCACCTGGCGGTGGTGTATGAACACGGCAGCCTGCTGGGGCTTTCTGTCACCAAGAGGCCTCTCTGGAGGCAGGAGTCCATACAAAGCATGACGAGCACCCGGGAGCAAGAGCTTCTGAAAGCCATCAACATCAGCTCCTTCGCCGAGTGTGGCGTCAGTTTCTTCCACGAGAGCATATCCAGATCGGCCCTGAGCCAAGAATTTGAAACTTTCTTTCGTGGTAAGAGTCTGTACATCAACTCGGACAACATCCCTGATTATTTATTCGACTTCTTCGAACACTTGCCTAACTGTGCGAGCGCGCTGGACTTCATTATCCTCGACTTGTCTGGAGGGGCTGTGGCTGCGGGGGACCAGGCCCCCCGAGACACCGCGGCATCCGTGCAAACCTACATTCCCAGCCGCGCTGTGTCTCTGTTCTTCAACTGGAAGCAGGAGCTCAAGACTCTGGAGGTCACACTCCGGGACTTCAGCAGGCTGAATAAGCGGGACATCAAGTACCTGGAAAAGATATTCAGCTCTGCCACCAGCCTCAAACTGTATGTCAAGCGATGTGCTGGGGTGGCCGGAAACCTCAGTGTGATCCTCAGCACCTGCAGGAACATTCACTCCCTCGTGGTGGAAGGCAGCCCCCTCACCACAGAGGACGAGCAGCACATCACCTCTGTGACGCCGCTGACCGCCCTCAGCATCCGCAGCCTGCAGACCCAGCGGCTGCCAGGTATGCTTCGCTCTGCAGCTGCACACATCACCCAGCCCAGCCGGCTACTGTGGACACAGCACGTACCCTATGGCTTTCTTGAACTGGCTTTTTTTTCTTCTTTGTACCAGTCCTGGGGCTTGAACCCAGGGCCTGGGCGCTGTCTCTCTGAGCTTTTCTTTTTTTGCTCACGGTTTTCACTCTACCACTTGATTTGTAGCTCTACTTCCAACTTTTTGGTCTCAGGGACTTTCCTGCCGAGGCTGACTTTGAACTGTGATCCTCAGATCTCATCCTCCTGACTAGTTAGGATTACAGATGTGAGCCCCTGGCAGCCCTGCTTTCTTGGTCTTTAAAGTAATAATCTTGGATTATGGATTTATTTCTAATTATAAGCATTTAATATTATAAACATCAACATAAGCAATTTTTTCCAGTCATGGTGCTTGAACTCAGGGCCTTGTGTTCTTGTTTAGCTTTTTCTCGTAAGGCTGGTGTTCTACCACTTAAGTCACACATCCACTTCTGGCTTTTTTGTCAGTTAATTGGAGATATGAGTCTCTCAGGTTTCTCTGCCTAGACTGACTTCAAACTGGGATCCTCAGATCCCAGCCTCCTGAGTAGCTAGCATTTACAGACATGAGCTATCAGAGCTTAACCCTGCAAGCACTTTGTTAGCTAAAGATTTTATTTTTATTTCTATATTTATCAAAATATATTTATCTGAGCCAGGTGTTGGTGGCTCAAGCTTGTTGTAATCCAAGCTTTTCAGGAAGCTGAGATCTGAGGATTGTGTTTCAGAGCCAGATTGGGCAAGAAAGTCCATGAGACTTTTACCTCCCATTAACTAGCAAAAAAGCTGGACATGGTATTAGAGCACCAGCTTGCCTTGAGCACTAAAGCTCAGAGATGGTGCTCAGTCCCTGAGTTCTAGCCCCAGGCCTGGCACATACAACAAAAATAAAAAACCCAAAATCTAATTTTCTTTGATACATGATTATTTGCACATATGTTGTTCAATTTTGAAGTGTTTGGAGATGAACCTGTTAGCTTTCTGTTATTTGTATATAGTCTAAGATTTCATTATATTTGGACAGCATACTTATAGTTAAGTACAATGCCTATTTCTGACCAAAAAAATATGATATCAATTCCCTGAGCATTTCTTGTCCCTGGTGATAGCTAATGTCTTATATTTGGTAATAGGAATGGCAGTGTTAGTAAGAAACATAGTAAATCACTCACAGTAAATCTCAGGTGAACACATCCAGTGTTTCTCTTTTGGCAGGTGGTCTGACCGACAGCTTGGGTAATTTGAAGAACCTTACGAAGCTCATATTGGATAACATTAAGATGAATGAGGAAGATGCTATAAAACTAGGTCACATTTTTGTTTTCTCTACCGCTTTCACTCACATAAGTATGGTTGGCTTAAGATTCTGGGTCTGCTCACTTCTGCATAAGGAGAGGCACAGGTGACCACCTTGGTTTCCCTGGATGCTTTTCCTCTCTCTCTCTCTCTCTCTCTCAGCCTGAACTCTGGGTTTCAGTGGTGTCCCTGAGCTCTTCAGCTCAAGGCTAGCCCTCTACCACTTGAGCCACAGTGCCACTTCCGGCTTTTTTCTTTTTGCATATGTGGTGCTGAGGAATCGAACCCAGGGTCACATGCATGCAAGGCAAGCACTCTACCACTGAGCCACCTTCCCAGCCCCCCTTCCTTTCTCTTAACGCAATCCTTCAGCACTACACATCATTAGAGTGTAAATCTCCCTGCCCACCCTCCCATTTTTGTGCTTATACTGGGGTTTGAACTTAGGGCCTAGGTGCTATCCCTTAGCTTTTATTTTTCTTCCAGTCATGGGACTTGAACTCTGGCCTGGTGCTGTCCCTGAGCTCTTCAGCTCAAGGCTAGCACTCTACCACTTGAGCCACAGTGCCACTTCCAGTTTTCTGGTGGTTAATTGGAGACAAGAGTCTCATGGACTTTTCTGCCTGGGCTGGCTTTGAACTGTGATACTTGGATCTCAGCCTCCTGCGTAGCTAGGATTATAGGCGTGAGCCACTGGTGCCTGGCCTAGCTTGGTTTTTTTTTTTTTAATAATTGTTATAAGCAAAAAGAAAAATGCCGAAAGTGGCGCTGTGGCTCAAGTGGTAGAGCACTAGCCTTGAGCTGAAGAACTGAGGGACAGCACTCAGGCCCAGAGTTCAGGCCCCACGACCAGATCAAAAAACAAAAAAACAAAAATAATTGTTATTATAAAGATGATGTACAGAGACATTACAGTTACATAAGTCAGTTAATGAGTGCATTTCTTTCAAACAATGTCACCACTTCCCTCACTCTCCCACTTTTTTCCTCCTGCCCCAACCACAAGTTGTAAGTTTATTTTCAACGTAGGATCTAGTGAGAACCACTGCTGCATTTGTTCTTCATTCTTTGTTCCTCCGTTTCTGTGCTGTCCTTGCCCCCCCCCGCCCCCACTCCCCGACAGATAAATGAACAAATAAAACAAAAAGAAAAGAAAACCACAACAACAAAGGTTTCCATCTCCTGGATCCTTAGCTTTTTTGCTCTACCACTTGAGACACAACTCCACTTCTAACTATTTGCTGCTTAATTAAAGTCTAACAGACTTTCTTGGCTGGGCTGGCTTAGAACCATGATCCTCAGTCTCCTGAGTAGCTAGAATTACAGGTATGAGCCACCAATATCCAGTTATGTTTATATTTAAAGCACTAAAATAATATAAAAATGCTTATACTTTTGTTTCATAATTAAGTAAAAATTCATAATTAAAATGAGATGAAGCAAAGAAGAGATAGAGAAAAATCCAGGAACACAAGCAGAACATACGTTTTCCCATGGAGACCCAGGCACTACAGACAGGAAGGATTCCTGTTGAATCTGCTCTTTCCTGTCTCTGCTTTTATGGTTAACTTTTTTCCTCAGGAAAATGTTCCTCTCTCCCTTTCAGCCTGTTCCTCTTTGTCTGCTTCCTGCCAAAGGATGACTCTATCCTATAATTAAAACATGACTGGCTCTTTTTTTATATATAGGCTATAGGAGAATACCCAGTACTGCACTCAGGAAACACATATTGCCTATCAATGAATCACACAGATTATTCAAGCTGAAAGGAAGCCTGAGCGCATCTATTTCACTCATTGATTTTATAGAAAGTCCACTGGTACCTAGAATTGCTTATTGACTTGCTCTAAGTCTCAACAATTAGTAGAAAAGGGCCAAGGGCATCTCTCTAAGATAATCTGCTTCTATTACTTATTCATTTTTTCTTATAGTGCTGAGATCAAATTCAGAGCTTTACCCTTACTAGGCAAGTGTTCTACCACTAAACTATACTCCCAGCTCTGCTTCTGCTATTAAGGAATAAAGGTCTGAACTTGAATAAGCCAGGATATGTATATTAGCAATAATGTACTGTCGAGTAACAGGTGACTCTGTAATAGATTAGACACAACTCTACATATTTTCTCACAGAACCCTTACTCTAGTCTGTAGGTATAAGGATCCCTAAAGCCACAGCTAGAAGGTTAAATGATTTGCCCAGCTCACACAATTATTGAATAGTGAATCCAGAAATCAATGTGTCTACAAAGTCTTGCTCACACCTCTAAGTGTTATGTGCTCCCATAACAACAATGAGCATTTGCTCTGCGCCTGGCACCATACATTATCTGTGATTTCCTCACAGCTCAGTGATAGAACACTTGTCTAACATGTAGAAGGCTCTAGGTTTGATCCTCATCACATGTGCGTGTGTGCTAGTGTGTGTGTGCACATGTGCACACACATAAGGATAAACAGAGAGAGAGAGAGAGACTCCCAAGCAGTGCGCTTCTTTCCTATAGGTTACAGTAAAATCAAGATATAATGTTACACCTATTCAATCCTTAACTCTATATTAACTTTAGACCTAAAAATGAAGAATATTTTGGATGAGGCACTGGTAGAGCACCTGCTTAGCAAGCATAAGTTCATGACTTTAAATTCCAGGAGAGAGGGGGAGGGGAAGGAAGGAAGGAATTTATGATATTTTCAATAATATTGTTGATATAAGATAAATCTTTCTCCATGCTGCATTGGATGTGGTCTTCATTCTATTTCTCTCTCTCTTTTTTTTTTTGTTGGTCGTGGGGCTTGAACTCTGGGACTGGGCGCTGTCCCTCAGCTCTTTAGCTCAAAGCAAGCGCTCTACCACTTGAGCTACGGCGCCACTTCCATGTGGTCTTCATTCTAAAGCCATCAGGCTGACCCCTGATGCTTTGACTTCTGGAAGCCATAGCCATTTATACCAGGAACACTCCAAAAGGATATAGTCCCCTGCTCCTCCTCTGAAATCAGCCTCCACCTGCAGCTTGAGTAGTGAAAGTGACAGTGGTCCCAGCACATTTCATGATGACAAAGTTACAGTAAGAGTGAACCCAATGCATTTCTTTCCAATCTCCTTGCAGCAAAAGGTCTGGCATATCTGAAGAAGATGAGTTTATTTCATCTGACTCACTTGTGTGACATTGGAAAGGGAATGGAGTACATAGTAAAGTCTCTGTCAAGCGAGCCCTGTGACCTTCAGGAACTCCAGTTGGTCTCCTGCTGCCTCTCAGCAAATTCCATCAGAACTCTAGGTAACCACTGCCTCCCTTAACTGAAGGAGGATTCCACAGATGAGGAGATATGGTATATGAACACTGAACCTCTCAGAGGAGGAATCCAGGCACTGTGGCTCATACCTGTAACCAACCCTAGCACTGAAGAGGCTGAGATCTAAGGATTGCAGTTCCAGCCAGCCCATGTGGAAGGTCTGTGAGACATTTTTTGTGTGTGTCAGTCGTGGGGCCTGAACTCTGGGCCCGGGTGCTGTCCCTCAGCTCTTTAGCTCAAAGCTAGCGCTCTACCACTTGAGCCACAGCACCACTTCTGGCTTTTTCTGCTTATGTGGTGCTGAGGAATCGAACCCAGGGCCTTATGCATGCAAGGCAAGCGCTCTACCACTGAGCCACCTTCCCAGCCCTCCGCGAGACTCTTATCTTCAAGTAACTAGCAAAAAGTCAGAAGTAGAGCTGTGGTTCAAGTGGTAGAGTACCAGCCTTGAGTGAAAAACAGGCTCTGAATTCAAGCCCCAGTATTAGCATAGAAAAAAATGGAGTCACCCTTACTAAGTTGGACTATAAAATCACTAGATGTCTACAAGGATCAGAAAGGAAATATATTAACATATATTTACAGTTAAAGTCATAGTTGAATAAGGCAGGACAAATATAGGGAGCCTGCGAATTATGAACACATTCCTGCACTTCTCTACTTGACACTGGGAAAGGCAGGCTTAGAAATGAAACAGCACTTGTATAAACTCATAAAAACCTTGTTTAATGTTTTAAAAAGATTAATTTTTTTGTCAGTCATGGGGCTTGAAGTCTGGAGCTCAAAGCTAGTGCTCTACCACTTGAGTGACCATGCCATTTCCAGTTTTCTGCATAGCTTATTGGAGATCAGAGTCTCATGGATTTTCCTGCCCCATCTGGTTTTGAACAGCAATCCTCAGATTTCAGCCTTCTTAGTAGCTAGGATTACAGGTGTGAGCCACTGGCACCCAGCTAAAAAGGTATTTTTTAAAGATTAATCTTTATTATTTATTTATTTATTTGCTGGTTCTGGGGTTTGAACTCTGGGCTGGGTACTGTCCTTGAGCTTCTTTTACTCAAGATGAGTGTTCTATCACTTGAGCCACAGCACCACTTCCAGCTTTTTTTAGTAGTTTATTGGAGATAAGAATCTCATGGAGAGCCAGGCGCCAGCGGCTCACACCTGTAATCCTAGTTACTCAGGAGGCTGAGATATGAGGATCACGGTTCAAAGCCAGCCCCAGCAGGAAAGTCCTTGAAACTCTTATCCCCAATAAACCACCAGAAAACTGGAAGTGGCGCTGTAGCTCAAGTGGTAGAGCGTTAACCTTAAGCTGAAGAGCTGAGGGACAGGCCCAGAGCTCAATCCCATGACCAACAACAACAAAAAAGAATCTCATGGACTTTCCTGGCTGGGCTGATCTGAGATCCTCAGATTTCAGCCTCCTGAGTAGATACAGTTATGGGTGTGAGCCATCGGCATCTGGCCAGCTCTTTAATTTTTTTTTTCTTTTTTGGGTTGGGTTGTGGGGCTTGAACTCTGGGCCTGGGTGCTGTCCCTCAGCTCTTCAGCTCAAGGCTAGCGCTCTACCACTTGAGCCACAGCGCCATTTCCGTTTTTTTTTTTTTTTTTTTTTGCTTATGTGGTGCTCAGGAATCAAACCCAGGGCCTCAGGCATGCAAGGCAAGCACTCTACCACTGAGCCACCTTCTCAGCCCCAGCTCTTTAATTTCTTAAAAAATAATTCTAATTAGTCTCCATAGGAAAAACTGAAGCATAATATATGAAGCAAAGACAATAACTAAGCTTTTCTTAGCTGATGTGATAGCACTATTTGATCACCTATATGTTTTCTGTATTTTTATTTACATCTATGTATATCTAAATCTATCTACCAGCATCTACATCCCTATATATAATTTCTGTTTGGGGCAGTACTGGAGTTTGAACTGAGAGCCTTACACATGAGTAAAGGAGCACTCAACCAATTGAGCCATGCTCTGAGCCATTTTTCCATTTTTATTAAATGGTTGTGTCTTTGTCATTAACACGCATCCTTTAAAGAAAGTACAGAGGTGGTCATGCCTTTTATTTATTTTTATTTTTTCATTTTTATTTTGTGCCAGTCTTGGGGTGTGAACTTATAGCCCATGTGCTTCATTTTTCTCAGCTTCCTTTTTCACTCAAAGCTAGTGTTCTACCATTTGAGCCACAGCACTACTGCCAGCTTTTTCTGGGTAGTTCATTGGAGATAAGAGTCTCAGAGGGCTGGGAAGGTGGCTCAGTGGTAGAGCGCTTGCCTTGCATGCATGAAGCCCTGGGTTCGATTCCTCAGCACCACATAAGCAAAAAGAAAAAAGCTGGAAATGGCACTGTGGCCTTGAGCTGAAGAGCTGAGGGACAGCGCCAAGGCCCAGAGTTCAGGCCCCAGGACTGGACCAAAAAAAAAAAGAGTCTCAGAGACTTTCCTGCCCAGGCTGGCTTCTAACCACAATCCTCAGATCTCAGCCTCCTGAGAATACAGGTGTGAGCCACAGGCACCCAACTGGTCTTACTGTTTAAACAAAATCCATCAAGTCAGGCAATGATTTCTATTGCCATCAGCAAAAACAAGGACTTAGGATTATTTTAAGAACATTAAAATGCATACATAGTTACCTGAAAAATCTTTTCATCTTGGGTTACATTTTTCCAGCTCAGAATCTTCACAATTTGGTCAAACTGAGTGTTCTTGATTTATCTGGAAATTACCTGGAAAAGGATGGAAATGAAGCCCTACATGAACTGAGTAAGAATGGCGACTCAACCTAAACCCATGAATACATATACTCGGTAGTTAGGAAAGCACAGCCTGAGCCCTGAGGTCTCTTGTCCCTCTCTCTGTGTGCTTACTAGATTTACCCTCCTTAGGGAAATCAGCCCTCTCAAACTGCCCTTGTGGCACACAAGCACTCTGCCACTTAAACCACAGCGCCACTCCTGGCTTTCTGGTGGTTAATTGGAGATCAGAGTCTCATAGACTTTCCTGCCCAGGCTGGCATTGAACTGTGATCCTCAGATCTCAACCTCCTGAGTAGCTAGGATTATAGGCGTGAGCCACTGGTGCCCGGCTACAAGCTGGTTTCTTTTGGGTCACCAGTTGGTGTACCATCATTTACTGAGCATCTCTCCTGACTTCTTCCTTCAAGGAAGTTAGTGTCTGCTGTTTGAAGGTGAGTTTGCTTAAATAAATTATAATAAGATCCTTAAAGTTGTGTTACGGGGTTTATTATGATATTTATATACATGTATATATTTTGATTATAGCCCCCCCCACTTCAATTACTTTTTTTCTTTTCTTTTCTGGTTCTGGGGTTTGAAGTCTGGGCCTGGGAGCTGTCCCTGAGCTTCTTTTTTTTGCTCGAGGCCAGTGCTCTAACACTTGAGCCACAGCATCACTTCTGGCTTTTATGAGTAGTTTATTGAGATAAGAGTCTCATGGATTTTCCTGTCTGGGCTGGCTTCAAACTACAATCCTCAGATTTCAGCGTGAGCTACCGGTGGCTGGCCAATTACTCCTTTTATGCTTCCTTTTTTGTTGGTAATATTTTTAAGGTATGATAGTGGTACGTAATGATTTAAAAAAAAAAAGATCTTCCAGTCATGGTAGCTCAAGCCTATTATCCTAACTAGAACCAGAGAGGATGACAGAGGAGATTGCAATTTGAAGTCAGCCTAAGGGGAAGGGATAAAGAAAAAACTAGGGAAACTCCATCTCAGTCAAGGGTGAGCTCAGTGTCAAGTTCTTCTCATTCCAGTGACATGAAGAAGCATAAAGGAGGTGCAATCTAGGTCTGCCTGGGTATAAATGACACCCTATCTCACACCTACAAATAAAGGGATTGAGGCGTGGCTCAAGAGGTAGAATGTCTGCCTCGTCAGTGTGAAGTCTAGAGTCCACAGTCCAGTCCCACTAAAGTAAATACATGGGACACAGTTCTGAGATGGGTTAATTGCAGAATAATACAGGAGGAATCAAGTCAGGATTAAGCAGTTTTACTCGTTACTTACTGTTGGTTGAAAATCACGAACAGTTTCACTGTTCACAAAGTCTTCATGGTTTAAGTGTTTGAATATTTAAAAACAACAAACCCAAACAGATTCTCATCACAGATTGAGTAACTTGAAGAACCATTCAACATAAAGCTGCCCCTTCGCCCACAGCCTTCATCCTGTTTTAGATTCTCTGGTTCCTAACTGTCCCCTGTTTCCTCAAGTCAGCAGGCTGAGCCTCCTGGAAGAGCTAAGTGCCCTGATGCTGCCCTGGTGCGGGGCTGTGCACATCATCCTGACCAGCCTGCTGGAGCAGCTGGCTATGATCCCACAGCTCGTCAAGCTTGGGTTGAAGAACTGGAGACTCACAGATGTAGAGATTCGACATTTAGGTGGGTAAACACACAGAGCCAGAGAGGGTTAGCCCTAAAAAAATTATTAAATTGGCTTCTTCTTGTAAAAAAAAAAAACAGTGGCTTAAAAATTCATACATGTAAAGGAGTAAAATGATTTAAAATACTATCTTTCTTTCATGGTTTTAAGGATTTTACCTGCAAGCTATAAAGGTCAGCTATTCACACTATGACAATAGTTATTACATTAGTATTTGTTCTTCCCGGTTTCCACTGTGTGAACTTCACCAATACCCCTCCAGTCTCAGGAAATATTTGTGGGTATTGGGAGTAGTTAAAGGTATATGATGTTGTTTAATTAGAACCATAGAAAGTCTGTGTATGTGTGTGTGTGTGTGTGTGTGTGTGTGCGTGCCAGAGTCCCTGTGTGCTTGTGTGCCTGTTTTAGGGCTTGAACCCAGGGCCTGGGTGCAAGGCTGGCATTCAACCACAGCTCTACTTCTGGCTCTCTGCTGGTTAATTTCAAATAAGGGCCTCACAGACTTTCTTGCCCAGTCTGCTCCTGAGCAGTTAGAATTACAGACACAAGCTACCAATACCCAGCTTCCACAAAAACCTGCTAAGTAGAAGCCAGAGGACATATCAGTAAGTGAAGACTCCACCAAACTGTTCATGAAGAGTCTTCACGCTAGTCACAAGTTTCTTTCTAACAAAAATAAAACAAAAGTAAACGGTGAATAAAAAGTAAAAGGTGAATAAAATTATAGCACTTCCATAATTTCTCCTGAAGTATAAACTCATGTGTTTGTGGGTTCTTAAACCTTTATTTGAGCTTTGCTATAGAAAATATTGTTTTCTTGTTTGGGCGTTTTTTTTAAATTTTATTTTATTTTATTTGTGAACATACTGTACAGAGGGGTTACAATTACATGGGCAGGATAATGCGTACATTTCTTACCAAGCATTGCAGCCTCCTCCTTTGTTTACCCTTCACATCCCTTCCCAGCCTCCCCCCTCCCCCCAATCCCAATCCTTCTCCTTCCCCCTCCTCCCCCCCCCCCCCCCCCCCCCCAACCCAAACCTTCCCCCTCCCCCCCCTCCCCCCCCCCCCCCACCGACGTTGTAAAGCTCGTTTTGGACATGACAACTTGTCTTGAATCTGGGCCTGGGTGCTGTTCCTCAGCTCTTCAGCTCAAGGCTAATGCTCTACCACTTGAGCCACAGCGCCACTTCCGGCTTTTTTCTTTTTGCTTATGTGGTGCTGAGGAATCGAACCCAGGGCCTCATGCATGTGAGGTAAGCATTTTACCACTGAGCCTCTCTCTCTCTCTCTCTCTCCTCTCTCTCTCTGTCTCTGTCTCTGTCTGTCTGTCTCTCTCTCTTTTCTTTTTGGTGCCAATCCTGATGCTTGAACTCAGGGCTTTGGGTGCTGTCCCTGAGCTTTTTAGCTCAGAGCTATTATTGCTCTACCACTTGAGCCCCCAGCTCTACTTCCAGCTTTTAGGGTGCTTACTTCAAGTTAAGAAGCTCATAGACTTTCCTGCCTGGATTGGCTTTGAACCTAGATCCTCAGCCTTTTAAGTAGCAAGCTTACAGGTATGAGCCACTGCTGCCCCCTAAATATTGCTTACTTGCTTTCTTTTTTTTGGGGAGGGGTCCGTCGTGGGGCCTGAACTCTGGGCCTGGGCGCTGTCCCTCAGCTCTTCAACTCAAGGCTAGCGCTCTACCACTTGAGCCACAGTGCTACTTCTGGCTTTTTTCTTTTTGCTTATGTGGTGCTGAGGAATCGAACCCAGGGCCTCATGCATGCAAGGCAAGCGCTCTACCACTGAGCCACCTTCCCAGCCCCATATTGCTTTTTTATATATAAAATCATCCTAAAAAATGGAAAACTTATCTGTATGATCTCACAACTGTTTTACAATATACGGGCCAACCATTGTTCAAATAGAAAACCTCTCTCAAGGTTTCTGGCTCTGGTCTACAGTATCTCTCTTGGAGCAGACTGGGTTAGTGATGATATGCGTGATGGATGAGGCACAATATGTCTTGAGATGAGATAATGAATGCAGATTGGAAACAGGAGAGGGGAAACCTAAGGCAGCAGTGGAAAATGAAGAGAAGCAACGAGTCATGAGGCTGGGAGTGCGTAATGAAAAACAGGAGGAGACTCTTGGAGACACAGGGAATACTGTGAGCAATGAACCTTTTTTTCATCAAAGGTTTTAAACACCTCCTGGTCCTCATTAAAACCTGGCTTTCCCCCGCAGACCTCATTAATAGCCACTTTTCATTCTGATTTTCATGCCCCTTTGATTCCACAGGCAAGGTCAGCTTCTCCTTGGTTATTAACATCCTTCCAGTCCACTCTTTTTCTAACCTCATTAAAAATTCCCACTTTCATGGGACTTAGGATATGCGGCTGGGACACATTCTCTCTTTTTATTGCAGTGAACTATGCAACTTCACCACCTCTTTTTCATTCACTGAAGAAAACTTTGGCAAGTGTTTTCAGAGTTCCTAGCTCTCTAATTCCTCTCATCTTAGAAGACCTATTCCTCCTGTAAAACTAGGAAAGCAACACACTTGGGCTTTCCCACTTAACTCCCTTCTTTTGTCCATTCACTATAGGAACGTGAGCAGATGAGAATAATTCACTTACAATTAGCTGACTGATCTGTAAGACATTCAAGTCAGATACCTCACTGTCAACAAACAGTCTCCTATCCTCCTATTGTACCTCCTCTAATAACCCTAATCACTTGTTCTTTCGCTTCATTAGGATTTCCCTTCCACTACTTCCTATTTTTTCTCAGCCCCTGTCTTTGTTGACTTCTTTTCCCACATAGCTGATATTCTGTCCTCTATTCTGGCAAGAATTCTCAACAGCTGAAACTCTTGTGGCTCATGGTATCACAGGACAATTAGCAAAGGATATATGTGTTCTGTATAATAGTCAAATGAAGAATGTAATGAGAGATGATGTTTCTAATAAAAGAAAGATGAGAAGTGAGATGTGAAGTAGCAAATGAAATATAATGGATTGGGTGTATTTTCCTGGCAAAACTCCAAGCCTTCATCCCCCTTAATTTTATCCTTTAAAAAATCTGCACTCAAGCTACTAGAGGGTGGGGGTAATCACACCATTTGTCAGATAGATGCTAAATTCATACTAGCAAGTTTCAACAAAATGCTAAGAAAACTCTGTCATGCAGAAAAAGCATTAAGATAATTCTCATGATCTCAAATAGCTATGTTAAAAAAGGCTCAAATTTATCAAAATAATGTCTTAATTTAAGAAGCCAAAAAGAAGAGTAAACTACAAAAATCAACCTAAGAGAGTAAAATCAATGGAACAGAAAACAAGAATTAAAAAATTAACAAAGCTTAGTTCTTAAAAAAAAAAAGGTAATAAAATAGATGAGAGTAATGACAATTTTTTTTTGTTGGTCGTGGGGCTTGAATTCTGGACCTGGGCGCGATCCCTCAGCTCTTCAGGTCAAGGCTAGCATTCTACCACTTGAGCTACAGCGCTACTTCTGGTTTTCTGGTGGTTTATTGGAGATAAAGAGCTTCATGGTCTTTCTTGCCTGTGCTGGCTTTGAACGGTGATCCTTAGAACTCAGCCTCCTGAGTAGCTAGGATTACAGGTGTGAGCCACTGGTGCCCAGCTTAGTAGTGACAATTTTTATTAATCAAAATGGAGACAAAAGCTGGGCCTTGGTGATTCACACCTGTAATCCTAGCTATTCAAGAGGTTGATATCCAAGGATCGCAGTTCAGAGCCACCCTGGACAGGAAAATCTGTGAGACTCTTATCTCCAATTAACCACCAGAAAACCGGAAGTAGCACTGTGGCTCAAGTAGAAGAGCTCTTGCCTTGAGCAGAAGAATGCAGGGACAGCGCTCAGGCCCAGAGTTTAAGACACACAACTGACAAAAAAAAAGAGATATAGTCATGTGGTGCTTAATGTATATTTGATTGGATTAGATACCTAGAGACTTGGGAAACCACTATTTCTAGGTGTATCTTTGAGAATGTTCCTGGAAGAGATTAGTGTTTCTATCAGTGGACTGGATAAAAACACAAAAGAACTACAAGCTCCCAGACTAGAAGAGTAGTTACCTGCCAGTGTAGACCAAGGGTGTAGAACAAGGGAATACCGCTAGGAGATCTGAGTATTCATCCATATTCTTGTTCACAGACCAAGTAAGAGAGAAAGACAGGTGAGCCGGGGTGAACTAGCTGTTTTTAGAACTAGCTGAACACCTGTTTTTAGAACATTCTGGCTGTCTTACTATGCTTCCATATTCAACACTCTCTAATGACATTGCCCTTTTTTTTTTTTTTGTCGGTTGTGGGGCCTGAACTCTGGGCATGGGCGCTGCCCCTCAGCTCTTCAGCTCAAGGCTAGTGCTCTACCACTTGAGCCACAGCACCACTTCCACCTTTTTCAGCTTATGTGGTGCTGAGGAATCGAACCCAGGGCCTCATGCTTGCAAGGCAAGCACTCTACCACTGAGCCACCTTCCCAGCCCTTGTCCCATTCTTAAAGAAATGGAAAAACTTCGAAAAAATATATATTAGGTGAAGTAAGCCGGATGCAAAGAAACATAGGCTACATGGTTTCTCTCATTTGTAACGACTAGAATATGTCTAGGTTATCCTTAGGAGTGGATCACATAGCTCAATATCTATGTGCATATGACCATATAAAATGATACCTATTGAAATAAAAAAATTCAAACTTTATTTTCTTTAAGGTCAGCAAAGTGCTTTGGCATATCCTGGGCCTACATGCTATCATATTTTTATTTACTCACCTAGTACTGGAGCTTAAACTCATGGCTTTCTCAGCTGTACCCTACCACTTGAGTCACACCTTTACCCATCCTTTTTGCTGGCTACTTTAGAGATGGAGGCTCTTGGACAATTCTATCCAGACTGCCTTTGAACCTTGATCTTCCTTTTGAATAGCCAGAATTACAAGCATTAATTGCATTTTCTAAGAGCTCTTTCTTGTTCTCCAATTATACTTTTTGTTTTGTTTTGCTTTGCTTTTGTGCTGGTCCTGGGGCTTGAACTCAGGTCCTGGGCACTGTCGTTGAGTCACATCTCCATTTCAGGCTTTTTGATAGATAATTGGAGATAAGAGTCTCACAGATTTCCTGCCTGGACTGGCTTCAAATAGCAATTCTTAGATCTCAGGCCTCTGAGTAATTAGGATTACAGATGTGAGCTACCAATGCCTGGCACCTTTTTTTTTTTTTATAGTCATCTAATTTTTGTTGAGTGCAAGCAGTATCTTTTTATGGGCTTTAACTTCTAGTTCTGCTAGCTGGTGAAATGTGTTTTGCTAAATGAGAAGAAAAGAAGTTTCTCCTTGGGGAAGGAGCCTTAAATAGATACACTAATTGGCCACAAACATTTTGAGTTGATGCCATGCTGGGTAGCACGAGGAGAACAAGGGCAGAAAGGGCATGACTATAAGATATAAGAGTGGAAGAAAGCCACTTTACCTGGATAAAGAAGCCTGCTTTCCTTCCTTTCTTTCGTTCTGTCTTTTCTTTCTTTCTTTCTCTCTTTTCTTTTCTTTTTTTGTTGTTCGTCATGGGGCTTGAACTTGGCCTGGGCACTGTCCCTCAGCTCCTCACCTCAAGGCTAGCGCTCTACCGCTTGAGCCACAGTGCCACTTCCAGTTTTCTGGTGGTTTATTGGAGATAAGAGAGTCATGGACTTTCCTGGCCGGGCTGGCTTTGAATCATGATCCTCAGATCTCAGCCTGCTGAGTGGCTAGGAATATAGACCAGCGCCTGGCCAGAGGGCATTTTCTTTTCTTTTCCTTTCTTTCTTTCTTTCTTTTTTTTTCCAGTCCTGGAGCCTGAACTCAGGGCCTGGGCACTGTCCCTGAGATTCTTTTTTGCTCAAGGCAAGCGCTCTATCACTTAAGCCATAGCGCCACTTTCCGCCTTTTCTTTTTATGTGGCACTGAGGAATTGAACAAGGGCTTCATGCATGCTAGGTGAGCACTCTACCACTAAGCCACACTCCCAGCCTTCATTTTCTTTTTAAAGTGATATGTAAGTTACCCACATCATTGGTGCCTTTTATTTACTTCTCAAATATTTAGCCACATCTAACAGCAAAGGAGGCTGGCATATGAGTGGCCATATACTCAGACTGAACTTTGTAACTATGAAATAAGGAGAGAGATTTGGGGAACAATTAGCAATGTATCTTACTTTTCAAAGAAATGGAATCAGAGAAAGAAAAGCCTCGAGATGCCCCCAGTGGCACAAAGCACACATAGTTAAGATATGGCCAGGTGCCAGTGACTCACATCTATGATCCTAGCTAATCAGGAGGCTGAGATCTGAGGATCAAGGTTCAAAGCCACCCAGTCAGGAAAGTCCATGAGACTCTTATCTCCCAATAACCACCAGAAAACTGGAAGTGGACCTGTGGCTCAAAGTGGTAGAGCACTAGCCTTGAGCACAAAAGCTCAAGGACAATGCTCAGTCAGGCTCTGGTGGGTCTCCCTTGTTAACTCCTCATGAGGCTGATGATGGAGGTTCAAAGCCAGCATAGTTGGGAAAGTCTGTGAGACTCTTATCTCTAACCACTAGAAAACTGGAAGTTGTCCTGTGACTCAAAGATGGTAAAGGACTAGCTTGAGCAAAAGAGCTCAGGGACAATTCCCAGGCCCCACAACTTATAAAAACAAAACAAAACAACAACAAGACACTGTGCTCAGGCCCTAAGTTCAAGACCCATGATCACCAAAATAAACCCCAAAAAATAAAAGAGAGAGAGAGAGAGAAGGAGAGAGAGATGAACCACCCTCCTTATGTGGTTTGGCCCACTTTTGCCATTAACATCTTGGCTATGGTCAGGTAAGGTCCTTTATTTAGGTATTTATAAAGAAGAACCCAAGCAAATTTTAAACTCAAGACTTTATGAAGTTTATAAAGTCTGGCTGACTTTAACTGAAGATACTGGAGTAAACCTTGTATGTGACATCCTGTGCTCACAGTAGGCACTCACTCTACACAGGCCACACAGTGACATCTGACCTTGAATTCACAGACCTCCTCTCTTGGGAACAAGTGAACACGCTTCCTAAAGTGACCAAGAGTATAAAATGCCAGTGCAGTCCTCGGCTGACCTGTAATAGAGAGCTCACTCTCACGCTGGTCACATAAGAACGACCGCTCCTGCCTACATTCCTCATCACTGCAAGCAGACAGCCTTTACGTGCTAGCTCTGACATGGGCCACACTCTAGCTTCCTTTGTCTATCATGAAGAGACTTTAAATACTCTTTCCCAGGGAATCCCTCCTTAATTGAATTCCAAACTGAATTTTAGCAACTCATTTTGTAAGAGGAACATTATCTACATGTTACATCATGCACCTCTCAAGCGACTCAAGTTTAACATATAACAAATCTCCATGTTCAAAGCAGAGTGAGGTATGAGCTGAGATCAGCAGAGCCATATGGACTGTTAAGTCAGGCATACATTTCTTCTATAATTTGCATTGAAAGTCCAGAGCAGAAACATAAATTGAATTCCCTGCTCAGTGGGCCTGAGTGTCTTCTCTGCATGTATTTCAGAGAAAACTTAGTCACCAAAAGACAGAAGGCGGAAGTGAAGCTATGGCTCAAATGGTAGAGTGCTAGCTTTGAGCTGAAGAGTTCAGGGACAGTGCCCAGGCCCAGAGTTTAAGCCCCATGACCGATAAAAAAAAAGAAAGAAAGAAAAGGACAGAGGCTAACACTGTGTGCAATCTTATGAATTCAGTTCATACAGAGTATACACAGGCTGGATGCCAGTGGCTCACACCAGTAATCCTAGCGGGGATCTGAGGATCACAGTTCAAAGCCAGCCTGGGCAGGAAAGTCTGTGAGACTCTAATCCAATTAACCACCAAAATTTTTAAAAAGCCAAGCTGGGTGCTGTGTGCTCAAGCCTGTAATCCTAGCTACCCAGGAGGCTGAGATCTGAGGATTGTGGTTGAAAGCCAGCCCACGCAGGAAAGTCCCTGAGACTCTTTATCTCCAATTACCCACCAGAAAACTGGAAGTGGTGCTGTGGCTCAAGCGGTAGAGTGCTCACCTTGAGTTGAAGAGCTCAGGAACAGTGCCCAGGCCCAGAATTCAAGCCCCACAACCAGCAACAACAAAAACAACAAATTTTAAAAAGCCAGAAGTGGAGTTATGATTCAAATGGTAGAGCCCGGGGTTGGGAAGGTGGCTCAGTGGTAGAGCACTTGCCTTGCATGCATGAAGCCCTGGGTTCAATTCCTCAGCACCACATAAGCAAAACGAAAAAAGCCAGAAGTGGTGCTGTGGCTCAAGTGGTAGAGCGCTAGCCTTGAGCTGAAGAGCTGAGGGACAGTGCCAGGCCCAGAGTTCAGGCCCCATGACCGGACCCCCCAAAAAAAAACAAAAAAACAAATGGTAGAGCCCTATCCTTGAGCAAAGCAGCTCAGGAACAGTGCCCAGACCCTGAATACAAGCCCCAGGACCACTTGCCTCGAGCTGAAGAACTGAGAGACAGTGAGCAGGCCCAGAGTTCAAGCCCCACAACTGACCAAAAAAAAAAAAATTACTAAAACGTCCTGCTTTTTTTTTTTTTTTTTTGTGCATCAGAAGGACAAGATACTGACCTTCCCATGTAGGGGACACTTTAGGGTTCTCTGTTCTTCAAGGAATGGAGGACTTTCCTGAGGGGGCTGAGGAGGCATAAAAAAAATGAATGAACCAAAGAACTCACCCAACTATTCAGATACTGAAGAAGGCTCATTTACTCAAGGCTACCATTAGAAATATAATAGTTAAGCAGTATTTACTTCTCAAAAAAGATGATGCTAATATTGCCTAAGTTTGATGACTGGTTTTGCAAACAAGTCTTGAAGTTCTTTTTCAAGTTCTAAATATTTAAATATCTCACTCCTCCAGTTTATTTTTATTTTTAAATAAAATAAGAGTCTCACAGGGACTTTTCTGCCTGGGCTATCTTCAAACTGCAATCCTCATGTCTCAGCCTCCTGAGTAGCTGGAATTACAGGTGTGAACCACCTGTGCCCGGCTTTACATCTCAAGTTCTCTCTCTCTCTTTCTCCTCTCTCTGTCTTTCTGCCAGTCATGGGCCTGAACTCTGGGCCTGGGCACTGTCCCTCAGCTCTTCAGCTTAAGGCTAGCGCTCTACCACTTGAGCCACAATGCCACTTACGGCTTTTTCTGCTTATGTGGTGCTGAGGAATCGAACCCAGGGCTTCATGCATACAAGGCAAGCACTCTACCACTGAGCCACCTTTCCAGTCTGACACCTCAAGTTTTAAGCCACTTTTCACTTCCTGGAAGTTGGGGAAAGAGGAAAATATGCAATTCATTTTTGTTTGCTGTTTATCATTGTAAACAGTTATGCTTGTATTTTTGGAAATATAGTTTGCAAATTCAATGGGACATATTCACATTCTACCTATAGGGAATTCTAATTTCTCCTTGAAACACAAAATGGCCTAAACATAGTTATTTCAAAACAGAAAAAATAAGCCTGGTGTGGTGGTATACACTAAATTTCAGCACTCAGGAGGCCGAAGCAGAAGGATTGAGAATTTAAGGCCAACCTGTATCCCATAGCAAGACCCTGTCTCAGAAAAGTCTAAAAAGACTAAACAAAAAAAATCCTAAACAATGTGAAATTGTATGTGTAAATAAATAAACGATCTATTTTTCTTTTTTTAAAAGATATTCTTCTATTAACACATTTATTTCCTTACTTAGGTTCATTTTTTGAAAAAAACCCTCTGAGAAACTTCCAGCAATTGGATCTAGCAGGAAATTGTGTGAGCAGTGATGGATGGCTTGCCTTCATGGGTGTATTTGAAAACTTGAAGCAATTAGTGTTCTTTGACTTCAGTACTACAGGATTCTTACCTGATGCAGCATTAGTCAGAAAACTCGGTCATGCGATATCCAAGTTAACTTTCTTACAGGAAGCGAGGCTTATTGGGTGGCAATTTGATGATGATGATATCAGTGTTATTGAAGGTGCTTTTAAACTAGTAGTTGCTTAAAGGTCCTTTAAGTCAATGCATGCTGTAGGGGGAGATTTAAAAACCTTGAAAAATGAAAGCCAAAGAAGATGAGGATGAGCAAAGTTTCAGTGGATAACAAATGCAATTATTTTGTGTCTCATCTCTCCAAGTAGAATTCCTAGCTTAACTCTGTTCATCTTTATATTATCCTTGGCCCCCAGAATACTAGATTACAAAAATTTATATATTATATGCATATTTACTTAAAATAGCCCACTTGGCACGTGATAGACTCAATAAATATTTGCTGATTGTGAGGTAATCAAGCTACCACCAATTAATAGCTATTGAATAAAGAAACAAACCAAAATTAAAACTGGAGAGAAAAGTTTATGTATTGAATGTTAGCTCCCTCAGTCTTATTTGACAAAAATGGGAATGTAAAAAGCATTTACTCATCTTTAGAAGATAAACATTCTTTAGTCAAGCAATAAGTGGCATTTTCAAAGCAGCTCAACCATTCAGGCTTAAAATTCAGGTCTCCTCCTAGTAGCTGACATGTTCATTGTAATTCTGTCACTTCAGAAAGGAAAAACGTGTCCTGATTTTTTTTTTTGTCAGTCGTGGGGTTTGAACTCTAGGTCTGGGTGCTGTCCCTGAGCTCTTCAGCTCAAGGCTAGCGTTCTACCACTTGAGCCACAGTGCCACTTCCGGCCCTTTCTGTTTATGTGGTGCTAAGGAATTGAACCCAAAACCTCATGCATGCCACCTTCCCAGGCCCATATCCTGCTTTTTTGTACCCAACAAAGACAAATAATCTGGGGCTGGGAATGTGGTGTAGTGATAGAGTGATTGCCTCGCATTCATGAAGCCCAGGGTTCCATTCCTCAGAACCACATACACAGAAAAAACCAGAAGTGGAGCTGTGGCTCAAGTGGTAGAGTGCTGGCCTTGAGTAAAAAGCAGCTCAGGGACAGTGCCTAGGCCTAGAGTTTTAGCCCCAGGACTGGCCCAAAAAAAAAAAAATCTTTTAATCACTACCTCCCACATGATCTCTCCCCCAACACTTATGGGTGTGCATGCACACACAAATAAGAAAAATCTCATTCATGTACAGATTCAACTCAAGGCCAGTCTGAAAAAAACAACCAAAAACAAACAAATGGTGTTAGCCTGTGTGTGGTAAGCCTTTGATCCTCATGGCACCCAAATTAAGGGTGTGCATATTGGTATAGACAACACTAGCTTACAAGTTGAGAGAGTCACCGGAGATTCTGAGAACTGCATTTGCTTAGTAACTTGACATACATTCTGTAGATTGAGTTATAAAATTTTAGTGCTCCAACTTTTCCTCCTAATTTTATTTTTTTTTTGGTCAGTTGTGGGGCTGAACTCTGGGCCTGGGCACTGTCCCTCAGCTCTTCAGCTCAAGGCTAGCACCCTACCACTTGAGCCACAGTGCCACTTCCAGCTTTTTCTGCTTATGTGGTGCTTGAGGAATCGAACCCAGGGCCTCATGCTTGCGAGGCAAGCACTCTACCACAGAGCCACCTTCCCAGCCCCCCTCCTAATTTTATAGATGAGGAAAATCAGTGAAGTTAAATGACTTACTTGCCCATAGCTTCAAAAATCTGTAGCAGCAGCACAGCAGTAGACTGGGAATCCAAATCTCTTGCCTCTTAGTTCAGTGATTTTTTCCCCCTATTATTATGTAGTTAATTCTCTCTCTCTTTTTTTTTTTTTTTGGCCAGCCCTAGGGTTTGAACTCAGGGCCTGAGCAGAGTCCCTGAGCTTCCTTTGCTCAAGGTTAGCACTCTACCACTTGAGCCACAGCGTCACTTCTAGCTTTTTATGTGGCTTCATGCGTGCTAGGTAAGCACTCTACCACTAAGCCACATTCCGTCCTGTAGTGAATTCTTGAAACTGGGTTGATCATATTAAGAGCCTGCCCTTGGGTATGTTGTACTAAGGCCTGTACTCAGGGGCTCATGCTCTCGCTTGGCTTTTTCTACTCTAGGCTGGCGCTCTGTCACTTGAGCCATGCCCCCACTTGCAGATTTGTCAGCCGTGGGGCTTGAGCTCTTCAGATCAAGGCTAGTGCTTTACCACTTGAGCCACAGTGCCACTTCTGGTTTTCTGGTAGTTTATTGGAGATAAGAGTCTCAGGGACTTTCCTGCCTAGGCTGGCTTTGAACCACAATCCTCATATCTCAGCCTCCTGAGTAGCTTGGATTATAGGTGTGAGCCACCAGCACCTGGCTATGAACTAATTTTTAAAATCAAACTTCCTTCTTGGTCTACCTTCAAGTGATTCTGAGACAAGAATTACTAGTAAGGATGCTGCATACAGACATAAGTTGTGCACATTCCTTACTTTCAAATCAGGAATCAGCTAGCAAATAACACTTCTTTATATAATACTGCATGGGCCAATTCCACAGGCAACAGTTGGTACACTGATTTCAGCAAGTAGGGTTAACTGCTTTACAACTGCCAGGGGACTTTGCGTGTCCATTCTCAAGCAGTTTAGGTGGGTATTAAAGCACCTTTGGTGGAACAGCTCTGAAGAGAGTGTTGAGAGAGTAGGAATAGAAACTCACACAGAACTGTTCAGTACTTGAACACGTTATAATCCCATTGGGATTAAGAAGTTATGTATGGGGGCTGGGAATGTGGCTTAGTGATAAGAGTGCTTGCCTAGCATGCATGAAGCCCTGGTTTCCATTCCTTAGTACCACATAGAAAAAGCCAGAAGTGGTGCTTTGGCTCAAGTGGCAGAGTGGTAGCCTTTAGCAAAAGAAGCTCAGGGATGGGAAAAGGAGCTATGTATGGGTGTGGCAACATAGACTTCTTAATTAACACTCAGTCCATACAGGGCTGCCTTTACAGGACTCATATTTAGATGAAGTTAGTGTAGGAAAATGACTACAGAATATTGGCTAATATTTATTTACAGTTTCCTCAGTACTGAGGAAAATGCAAGTGTAAAATGTACTAATATATGTGTATACACACACACACACACACATATATATACACATATGTATATGTAAAATACATAATATATATTTTTTTATTTTTTGTGCTGGTCCTGGGGTTTGAACTCAGTCAGAGTCTGGGCACCGTCCCTGAACTTCTTTTGTTCAAGGTTACTGCTCTACCACTTAAGCCACAGCTCCACTTCTGGCTTTTTTGTACTTTATTAGAGATAAGAGTCTCCAAGGCATTCCTGGGCTGGCTTTGAACCACCATCCTCAGATCTCAGCCTCCTGAGTAGCTAGGATTACAGGCATGAGCCACTGGCGCCCATCAGTGGGTACATTTCTTCAGCAAGTCAAATGCTTGATTTGTAGATGTCAAAGCCAATGACCAGGGGGTCATTGTGGCTTTGTGGTAGAGTGCTTGCCTAGCATGCATGAAGCCCTGGGTTTGATTCCTCAGTACGACATAAACAGAAAAAGTGGGAAGTGGCGCTATGGCTCAAGTAGTAGAATGCTAGCCCTGAGCAAAAAGTTCAGGGACCCAGGCCCTAAGTTCAAGTCTTAGGACTGGAAAAAAAAAAACAAAAGCCAGTGACCAATTAACTCTTCAGTAAGCAAAGCGTATTTAGAATATGATCACTTATTACCACAGATGTCTATAATTACACTCAACAGCTTCCTAGAAGTGTCTGTTACTCCACTGTGAAGAGAAGGTTTGGAAGTATTGTTCCTACTTAATAAGATAAATTGGAAAAAAGTCCTAAAAATTCTATAAAAACAAAAATCTTCTCTAGATAGCTGGCTGGAAAAGCCATAAATCTCTAGAAGTACTAGATTCTAGGAAAGCTATACCCTTTAAAATGTACAGAAGTCGGAAAACAACATAAGCAAAATTCTTTTTAAAAAATGCCTTATAGGGGCTGGGAAGGTGGCTCAGCGGTAGAGTGCATGCCTTGCAAGCATGAGGCCCTGGGTTCGATTCCTCAGCACCACATAAACAGAAAAAGCCAGAAGTGCTGCTGTGGCTCCAGTGGTAGAGTGCTAGCCTTGAGCTGCAGAGCTGAGGGACAGCGCCCAGGCCCAGAGTTCAGGCTCCATGACCGGCAAAAGAGAAAAAAAGCCTTATAGTTTTGGTACCAGTGTCTCATTCCTGTAATCCTAGCTACTTAGGAGGGTGAGATCTGGAAGTCTGTGGTTCAAAACTAGTCTGGGCAGACAAAGCCGAGACTCTTATCTCCAATTAACTATCAAAAAGCTGGAAGCAGACCTATGGCTCAAGTGGTAGACTGCTAGAGTATTCAGACCATGACTACAAGCCCTAGGACCAACCGCCCCGCCAACACACACACACACACACACACACACACACACACACACACACACACACACACACACACACACACACCACCTCATAGTAATTTGCTGGTTGTCTATTATGCATTTTGGAAATAATACTGGTCATATTAAAGTTTCTAGGGCTGGGAATGTGGCTTAGTGGTAGAGTGCTTGCCTAGCATACAGGAAGCCTTGGGTTCGATTCCTTAGTACCACATACTGTATTCTCAATAAGGTGACAGATCCACTCAATCAAGTGGCCTAGAAAGGTAAGGTCGCATCTCACTGTAGTAAGCCACAAAGACTGCAAAAGTTCAAATTCAGAGAAACACACTTTCCAAAGGAAGCCTAGTTTAAAGCCTCAAACGTTTCCAAGGATCCCACCACCACAAAGATGTTTTATAAAAATAGAGTTTATAGGTTTCATGAAATGTGAACGTCTATTATTCTTTGACATTTAGTGTAAATGATTGAACAGTCAATGCTAAGTTACATTACTAAATAAACTGGAAGCCAAGGAGTCAATAGTCCTCATAAAAACAAGATTACATCATGGTCTTGGTTGTCCAATTCTATTATTATTTCCATATCTATGTGGTAGATTTGTAAAACCAGTCCTGAATCCTTGGGTTGCTCCAATTCCTGGAACTCCAAGGCCTTGATTAAGCATGTTGCTATATTGTGTGTGTCCATGATTGAGACCCAAACCATAAGGCCTTGTCTGTGTGTTCAGAAGAAGAACTGGGTTCGCATTTTTTCCAGGCGTATTAAATGAAAACTCTGGCGGTGGACTACTAGGTTTAGCTGGAGTTGATGTGACAGGGGCCACATCATCAGCATGCTTTAAGAAAGGCATTGGAATTATATGATGGTCTGAAAAGTTCAGGACATTGGCTGCAACAGGACCAGACAGTAAGGCAGGTCTAACCCAATCATCCTTGAAAATCTGAACAGTCAGAGTAGACACAAGTGTGTACAGCCTGTTGGTAACATGGGCAAGAACCATTTGTTCATTTGCATCTCGTCGAATTCTTACATGTACTGATCCAGCCTAAAAATGAAAAAAAAAAAAGAAAATCATAAGAAAATAAGAAATGGGGAGGGGGGAAGGAAGGGATGGTAGGGGAAAAACAAAGGAGGGGGGTAACAATGCTCAATAGGAAATGTACTCATTACCTTACTCATGTAACTGTAACCCCTCTGTGCAGTATCTTTACCATAAAAAAATATATATTGCTGGGCGCTGGTGGCTCACGCCTGTACTCCTAGCTACTCAGGAGGCTGAGATCTGAGGATCACGGTTCAAAGCCAGCCCGGGCAGGAAAGACCGGGAGACACCTATGTCCAATAAACCACCAGAAAACCAGAAGTGGCGCTGTAGCTCAATTGGTAGAGTGCTCGCCTTGAGCTGAAGAGCTGAGGGACAGCGCCCAGGCCCAGAGTTCAAGCCCCACGACTGACCAAAAAAAAAAAAAAAAAAAAAAAAAAAAAAATATATATATATATATATAAAAATAAGGGGCTGGGAAGGTGGCTCAGTGGTAGAGTGCTCGCCTTGCATGCATGAAGTCCTGGGTTCAATTCCTCACCACCATATAAACAGAAAAATCCAGAAGTGTCACTCTGGCTTGAGCGGTAGAGCTCTAGCCTTGAGCTGAAGAGCTGAGGGACAACGCCCAGGCCCAGAGTCCAGGCTCCATGACCGGCAAAAAAAAAGAAAATAAGAAAAAGACAATGCTTAGAATTATATTACTGAAAAATAAACCCAAGATGTGGTTAGTAGTTGACTGAAGGCATTAACATACAACACAGCGTTGCTTCTGCTTAGTTTTTTTGCTCATGGCTGGTGAAAGCAGGGGTTATACCATGGGGGAGGAACACACAAAGCAACAAAGAAATAATTTTATAAATGTGTTAGAAACAATCGCATGAAAGAAAAAAAATCATTTGAATACATATCTTAGGGTTCATTTCCCTAACATCACCTTATCTGACCTGTTCTGCTTGACTCAGAATGACTGGTGCTTTAACACTTTAACAACAATTCTAATCTGGCCTTTTTGTTGGCTAAATCCATGGAAATAAAATTTCATAGACTTTTCTGCCTTGACTGGCTTGGAACTTCAGTTCTCAGCCTTTTGGGTAGCTATGATTATAAGTGTGAGACAATGGTTTAGTATTTTCTTTGCAGTAGGAGAAAGCTTAAGGTCTTGCTGTTTCTTAAGGACTATTTACTGGTAATTATCAGAGTTAAAAGTTAATAAAATTGCTGGGCACTGGTGGCTATGGCCTGTAATCCTAGCCACTACTTATAAAGACAGTGTAAGGAATTCCAATGAAAGTTAGGCTGGAGATGTGGGGAAAGAGAACGTATCAAAGAGTATAATTCTGAGCAAAAATATGCAAATCTGATTGCCAAGCGCCCCGGTGGCTCTCGCCTGTAATCCCAGCTACTCAAGAGGCTGAGATTTGAGGATCACAGTTCAAAGCCAGTATGGGTAGAAAAGTCTGTGAGATTTATCTCCAATTAATCATCAGAAAACTGGAAGTGGTGCTATGGCTCAAGTGGTAGAGCGCTTGTGTTAAGCTAAAGAGCTGAGGGACAGCACCCAGGCACTGAGTTCAAGTCCCATGACTGACAAAAAAAGAAAAAGATATATATGCATATCCGAAATACCAAGGTAAAGTCCCTTGGTAAAATTAATACACACTAGGAAGTGGAGCTGTGGCTCAAAGTGGTAGAGCCACTAGCCTTGAGCAAAAGAGCTCAGGAGGGGCTGGGAAAGTAGCTCAGTGGTAGAGTGTTTGCCTTGCATGCCTGAGGCCCTGGGTTTGATTCCTCAGCACCACATAAGCAGAAAAAGCAGGAAGTGGTGCTATGGCTCAAGTGGTAGAGTGCTAGCCTTCAGCTGAAGTGCTGAGGGACAGTGCCCAGGCCCAGAGTTCAGGACCCACAATCAACTAAAAAAAAAAAAAAGTTCAGGAATAAGCACCAAGGCCATGAGTTCAAGCCGCACAGCCAACAACAACAACAACAAAGTAAAAATTAAAATTAATATACCTTTAAAAAAGAAAGAAAACAAATGCAAGAAAGTATAACAGACTGTTTGGGACAGGCACTAGTAGGAGCTAGGAGGTATAACAAAAAGGGTGAATGAGGATGAAAGTGGTTAAAGTAGTGTATTTGCATGTATGGAAATAGAACAATAAGCTAAGCACCACTGGCTCATGCTTATAATCCTAACTATTTAGGAGGCTGAGATCTGATGATCAAGTTTTGAAGCCAGCTCTGGTAGGAAAGTCTACTACAAAATCATCTCCAATTAACCACCAAAAGCTGAAAGTGGCTCAAATAGTAGAGTGCCAGTCTTGGGAGAACAAGCTAAGGGAATCTAGGCCTTGAGTTCAAGCCCTAGTACTAGCACAAAATCAAACAATTAAAAAAAAAAGAATGAAATGTGTTGAAACTGTCTTAAGAAGAGGGGAAAGGATTGAAGGAAAGTAAAAATTATTATGGGAATTGCTGAAGGGAAAGTGAAAAGGGAGTGAGTTTGATTGTGATACATTGTATACTATACATGAAAAAGTCACAACTTGTATAACTGCTTGCTAATAAAAAATTTAAAAATTATGCTCACAAATATAACTAAATATGTATAAAACATACCAATGAGCCAAAACCTAGGGTCCAGAAATGTTCATTTCGGACTTCTAAAACACCATCCAAAGTAGATACCTAATCAAGAACATAGCAATAGGTTATCAGCATCATCTGCATTTGAGATATCCAACACTGTTCAATCACACTATGGACTTAAAAGCCCAGTTCATATAGCCCTTTTGATTCTATCAATATAGCTCTGTAGTACCAGATACAATTTTTTACCTCAACTTGGTCTTTTTTTGTTTCTTTCTTTGCATTTCCTTATAACAAGTCTGTACATATCACAGGGTATTATTATTATTGGTGGTGATGGAGCTTGAACTCTGGGCTTGGCGCTGTCCCTCAGCTCTTCAGCTCAAGGCTAGCACTCTACCACTTGAGCCACCGCACTACTTCGGTTTACTGAGTGGTTTATTGGAGATAAGAGTCTCATGGCCTTTCTTGCCTGGGCTGGCTTTGAACCTTGATCCTTAGATCTCAGCCTCCTGAGTAGCTAGGATTATAGGTGTGAGCCACCCATGTCCAGCAAACACACGTTATCATTTGGATACAAGTTATCAGAAATCCCAAGGCAAGGTGGACAGTGTGCGGTGCATTGGTACAGTGGCACAGAAAGTATACTAAGGCCAGGCTTCACAAGCTCAGACATATAGTCAACTGTTTTGGAAATGTCACTCTTGTGACTAGAATTTAGAACAGTCTCAATATCTAAATAATTCTGTCATCTTATTTCTTCATTGGTTAGCAGGTGGAAATTTTGAATAAAAGTCAAGATGTTGGGCTGGGAAGGTGGCTCAGTGGTAGAGCACTTGCCTTGCAGCCTGAGGCCCTGGGTTCGATTCCTCAGCACCACATAAGCAAAAAGAAAAAAGCCAGAAGTGGTGCTGTGGCTCAAGTGGTAGAGCACTAGCCTTGAGCTGAAGAGCTGAGGGATAGCACCCAGGCCCAGAGTTCAGGCCCCACGACTGGACCCAAAAAAAAAAAAAAGTCAAGATGTTAGGTGGTGAAGTAAATTAACATGTAAAAGTTGACACTGTCTTTCTCAAAGTTTTAAATACAGTCAGAAAAATCACAGTATTTACATAACTAATAGGTTGGTCTTTAAACCATTACTTTCTATACTTATTACAAGTGAATTTGTCATCCGAAGTTTGGAAGTCCTCAATTTTTTTCTTTTTCTGCCACATTATTGTATGTTCCTACTATGTTATTATAAGGAATCCAAACTCCTGTAGAATAAAATTCTATGTAGGATTGAATAAAGTCTTACATGTACCCACCCTTTCAATTCGTAACATAAATTAAAAGTATTTACAATTTCATCTTACCTCTCTGATCAGTTTATCCAACTGACCAATAACATGTGGTGGTGTTGTCTGGGAACAAAATAAAATAAAATATGAATAACCAAGGAAGCAAAACATTTTGCTGAAATGGTTCTGAAACCAAATAGATTTTTAAACCAACTTCTGCTTTTGGCATGTATCCTACTGTGTATAAAAAAAGAGAGGCTTCAACTGGTCTACTAGTGAAACACTCTCATCAATGGGGCTATACTTGTTTTTCTCACAGAGTAGCTATGTTTAAAATCAAGTAAGATTTGAAAAATCAATGAGCCAGCTGCAGTGGTTCACATCTATAATCCTGGCCACTTAGTAGCCTGAGATTGCGAAGATCAAGGTTCCATATCAGCCCATGCAAAAAGAAAAGAAAAGAAAAGAAAACAAACAAAAAGGGCTCAAGTGATAGCATGCCTGACAACCAGTACAAGACCCTAAGTAAAAACCCAAGTACAAGCATAAAAACAACAAAAAGGGATGTGAAGGGTAAACAAAAGGAGGAGGCTGCAATGCTTGGTAAGAAATGTACGCATTATCCTGCCCATGTAATTGTAACCCCTCTGTACAGTATCTTCACAAATAAAATAAAAAAAAAAACAACAAAAAGAACCAATTAGTCAACAAAAAAATTTTTGATGATTAGAAAAGTAACATTTTATACTAATCATAACACTATAAAATTATTATCATTAGCTTACTATTTTTTATTTTGTGTGGGTACTGGGCTTAAACCTAGGGCCTTGCTTTTTCACTCAGAATTGATGCTCTACTACTTGAGCCACAGCTTCACTTCTGGCTTTTTTTGGTGGTTAACTGGAGATAAAGAGTTTCACAGACTTTCCTGCCCAGGTTGGTTTTGAACCTTGATCCTCAGATCTCTTGTTTCCTGAGTAGCTATGATTACAGGTATAAGCCTGTAATGAGCCAGCTTTATTATCTTATATATTATCTTGCTTTTAGAGATGGAGCCTGTGCCCCTAAGTTTTAGAAAAGTCATGCAGGTAAAAGACAGAAAGAAGAGTAGGGACTGTATATAAATCTAACCCTGGAAAACCACTTTGCTAGTAAGGGGTTATTTACAGGTGTCCCTATTGTTTCAATAGCTAGCAATTTGTTACTTTCAGGTCAGACAGTTAAGAGTCATTGATTCAATAACAGGAGATAAGAGTAATGCAATTATGCAACAGCCAAGACATATTTACTAAGGGAAAATGAAAGCTCCTCAAGAAAAAAAAAAAAGAAAAAAACTTTAGTAAAATTGTTTTCACTTAAAACATTACCAGAGGCAAATAATTTTAAAGATATGATTTTATGTCACAGAAACATAGGAGGCTTCGTACCTATTTTATGGAATAATGGAATTTCAGCTGGTTTTACAGTATAAATTCAAGAGATTACTGTTTGATATCATTTCCTTTTTTTTTTGTTGTTGGTCATGGGTCTTGAACTTTGGGCCTGGACACTGTTCCTGCACCCTTCAACTCAAGGTGAGCACTCTACTACTTGAGTCACAGTGCCACTTCCCAGTTTTCTGGGGGTTAATTGGAGATGAGTCTCAGGGATTTTCCTGCCTGGACTGGCTCAGATCTCAGCCTCCCAAGTAGCTAGGATTACAGGCATAAGCTACTGGTGCCCAGCTTTGATATCATTTCTTAAAAGCCCTCTAGGTGCTAAATATGGTAGTATGGTTGGGGACGTAGTAATAAGCGTGTGCACTCCGAGAACCTTACCTGAAGCAGGACTTTCCCGCTGTAGACACTCATGGGGTACATTGTGCCAAATGTCATCAGGGCGATGGCTACTGCAGAGGCAGTGTCTATAGCAAAATAATTGCTGAAAAGAAAAACAATTTCAAATCTGAAATACATGGTTTCCTGGGCATCTAACAATTCGGTTTACTGGACAGTTTATTTAAAGCAAGAGGACTGTGTTTATCACAAATGATAAATGCTAGCAGAGTGCTGGTGGCTCACCTCTGTAATCCTAGCTATCTAGATGTCTGAGAATCAAGGTTCAAAGCCAGCTTGGGCAGGAATGTACATGAAAGTCTCATCTCCATGTAACCATCAAAAAGCCAGAAGTGGTGCTGTGGCTGAAAATGATAGAGTACTAGCCTTGAGCTGAAGAGCTCAGGGACAGGGCCCCGGCCCAGAGGTCAAGACCCACAACTTTCTTATACATGTGCGTACACACGCACGCGTGTGTGTGTGTGCGCGCACACACACACACACACACACACACACACACACGGTAACTCCTGGCAAGGGAGGACTTTAAAGGAGAAAAAAAATCTGTTTTTAGGATCATTCTTGTCAGTCTTTGTTGGGAAGTGTGAAGAGATCATGAAGAAAAAATGTGAGTATTTCCTCACTACACATATTCCAATTTACTTGTCAACTGGGAAGATTTCAGATATATCCATTTGCTTGAGACAGAAGAGTAAACATCTTCAACACCTAATGTCTGTCTGATACAGAGAGAGGAATAGATTTCATCAGTGACTCTATTGCTTTCCTATAATCAACCATTGTTTCAATAAGAAGTTGCAAAATTCCCTGATAATTTCACAAGGTTAAGATTCTCCAGGAATATTACAGCAACATTATGGCTGAAGCGCAACATTTCATCAAAAGTTCAACTTTGATAAACTATTAACAAGAGGTACCAAATTGCTGATGGTTACAAGCTGATCTTGTCTTTTGTTGTTGTTGTTCCCTCTTTCTTGGAATACAGACATAAATAAGACATAATCCTCGGTTCATAAATAGCAGGACTACAAAAAACACGGTGTAGCACTTTGGGTATTAAAGTATAAATCTCTACAGGATATAAGATGCACAAAGGTATGACAAGGCTACTTGCAGGTAAAGATAATCCAGAAAGCATCGGATGCCGGTGGCTCATGCCTGTAATCCTAGCTACTCAGGAGGCTGAGATCTGAGGATCTCGGTTCAAAGCCAGCCTGGGCAGGAAAGTCTGTGAGACTCTTATCTCCAATAAATCACTAGAAAACCAGAAGTGGTGCTGTGGCTCAAGTGGTAGAGTGCTCACTTTGAGCTGAAGAGCTGGGGACAGTGCCCAGGCCAGAGTTCAAGCCCCACGACCGACAGAAGAAAAAAAAGATAATCCAGAAAGGCAATATATAGAATAGGAAGTAAGTCTTCAAAGATGAGTGAGATAATGGGAGTAAGATAGTCCAGACAGTGAGAGTAACATGCATGAGAGTAAGAAACACCTTACACAGCAATAAAACCACATTGCAGTATTGATACATAGGAGTTGACTTCACAAGACTCCATGTTACTAGTTTTCACAAAGATGCAAACAAGAGGGACTTGAAATGGGAAAGTCCTAAGGACAATTTTGAATGATCACATTAATAATGAACTAGAAGTTAACTACAGATAAATAAGGATGAAAATTAAGAGGATCCAAACACTATATGCCAAGAAATTATAATGGCCTAATTAAGACAGAAAAATGGGAAGAGCAGACAAAGCACCAGCTGTGAGTGAAAAGCGAAGTGTGAGTGCCAGAACAAAGGGACAATGCTGTGTGCCTCTGATCATATAAAATAATGCTTATCGAAATGAAAAGAGGTACAAGAGTGTGAGTTCAAGTGCCTGTAAAGGTACAAAAAAGAAAAATAAAAGATTTACCATGTAATAGAGCATTTCTACCTGTGGGTAATATAACCCCAATAATTAGAATCAAATATTTATACACACATGTTCATAGTGGCATTATTCACAGTAGTTAAAAAAAAGGAAAGGAAAAGCAAACTCCTCAAATATGGTCCTCCTCAAATATTAATAATGAACGTGTGCATAAACAAAATGAGGTATGTATGAATAATGAAATACTACTTGGCCTTAAAGAGGAAATTCTGACACAGACTATAACACAGATGAACCTTGAAAAACATTACACAATGTGAAGTAAGCCAGTCACGAAAAGATACTACTTGTATGAAGCAGAGTAGTTAAAACCAGAGGCTGAAAGTATAACAGAAAAGGCAGGGATGATGAGTAGGGAAAACGGAAGGTTATGGTGTAAGTGAGTTTCAGTTTGGGATGATGGAAAATCTCTGGCGATAAATGGTGATAGTGCACAAAAATATGAATGTACCTAATGCCATTGAACTGTATACTTCAAAATGGTTAAAGTAACACATTTCTTACACATCTTGTGCATATTTTTCTGCTTTTTTGTGTTCTGGTACGGGGGCCCCCCATGCTCTCAATTGGCATTCTTACTCAGGGCTGGTGCCCTACCATTTGAGCCATGCCTCCAGTCCAGCATGTGGCTAGCTAATTGGACTTTTCTGCCCTCATACTTCAATCCTCCAGTTCTCAGCTTCCTGAGTAGCTAGGATTACTGGCATGAGCCACCTGCTTCCAGCATTTATAGAATGCATTGGAACAGATAGCAATAGTATGCACTGGCTACGGAAATGCAAGAGAAAAAAGTTTTGGTAATGGGGAAAATAAGTTCAGTGGAAGTATTCCTCAATACAAATCAAGAAGATAATACCTTTTGGAATTCAACAGAGATCTGTGCTAAGCATGAGGATTTGGGAATATTCACAAAGGTAGCAAATAAAATTAAACAGTTGTATATAATTTTCAGAACTAATACAAAATAATGGTAATAAAAATAATGATGATAACAGCCTGATTCTATTAAACATCATTATATAAAAGGTAAAGAGAACCATGTCAAAAGAAGTTAAAAGCTAAGGGGTAATGCTCAAGCCTCAGGACTGCACACACACACACACACACACACAAAAAGTTACAATTAATGCAGCTCTAAATCCATTTTCAAGAAATTCTGTTTTAAAAATTGCTTCACACCTATTTCCTCTCCTCCCTCTCTCAGCAATAGCAGCTGGAACTTAATTCACTGTCTTCTTCTGTTTTACTCATCAGCTTAGCAGCAGGGAATGAAATCATTTTCCAGTCTGCATTATAGATGTGGTTAGAAATACTGATCTAATTACCTTAATTTTTCATATGAAAACATTTGAGGACAAGATTTGACCAAATTTATATAGGTCATAAGCAAAAATGCTCTGAGCTTAACCACTATCCATCTTGCTAATGCCTTGACAATTCAGGGACAAGAAAGCAATCATACTTGATACCAATAAAAAATACTTACTTAATTTCAATAAGCAAGTATGTAATACAAAGAGCAAATGCTCCAGCTAGATCAATCAAAACAAATGGGTTCATTCGGGGAAGGAAGATACTGCTAAGTCCTGGAATAATTCCACATAAGCTATAAAAAAAAAGAGGATTAATTAGCAGAACTCACATAATACAAATAAATACTTTATAAAAGACAACTTCCATTTTACTTGTTTTCCTACTTACTATCATGATTTCGTAGTTGTACAAAGGAGTTACAATTTTGTATGAGTATAATGCTTCTTGGTCAATTCTACCCCTTCTTTCTTCCTCCCTTATTTTCTTCCCTCCTGCCCCTACCCTCAAGTTATACATTTCTTTTTTTTTTTTTGGTCGGTCATGGGCCTTGAACTCTGGGCCTGGGCGCTGTCCCTCAGCTCTTCAGCTCAAGGTGAGCACTCTACCACTTGAGCTACAGCGCCACTTCCAAGTTATACATTTTTTTTTTTTTTTTACATTTCTTAAAGAAAGTATACACACAGGACTTGGAACAAAGCCCTCCTATCTTTTGCATATTATCAATTAAAAAGTAAGGCCCTGGGTTCGATTCCTCAGCACCACATAAGCAAAAAGAAAAAAGCCGGAAGTGGTGCTGTGGCTCAAGTGGTAGAGCGCTAGCCTTGAGCTG